CTCTCAGCTGCTTGAAAGGGGGGAGTTGCCCGCCCGTGCATAGCTCTGAGCAGCGCAGCCGTACTTCTGGCAGGCCACTCGCTCCAACCACCCTCCCTTCTCGCACCATCAACGGCACCACTCTGTTCAGGTCGAAAACCGACAATTGCTCTGCAGACCCTTTCAGGGGCTCCCCAAAACAATCGCAGGCACGGCAGGCAAGCTTTCCCTGCTCCACCGCATCCACCTTCCAGACGCCCACTACACCAATTCTTTTCACATGAGACGACACCTCCAGGAACTCCTTCCCCGTGACAGGCGCCAGCAGCTTCTCCTTCCATGCGTCCGGGATACATTTAAAAATTTTAAGCGCCTTCCTCGCCTTCTTGACTATGCCCAGCTCCCTGGCCAGCACCTCTTCGCTCTTTAACAAGCACGTTCCGTCTTCTACGCAACTGATGAAGTCACCCAGTTGAATTAGCTCCAGCCCTTCCGCTGCTTTCTGGCGGCCAATCGGCTTCTTCCCGTTCGGCAGCACCTGACGGTTAAACAACAAAGGCTCTTGTGCGATGTCCCATCTCGTCTTCGGGCCTTCCTTCACTATTTTTGACTTCATGAACGCCTCACACGTTTTCCTCCACCTTTTGCTTCGCCCATTCCAACCCTTCGGGAAATCTTCGTGCGCCCAAAAGCACCGGAAACCCGCGGGGAGGTCCGCCGCCTTCGTCGCCAACCATCTCCCAACTCCTCTGTTGCCCAGCACAAACTTTCCCACCCGCCTGGCTGCCAGGCCGCTGAGCTCAACAAAGGGGTCGCGTACCCCCAGGCCTCCGTCCTTCCTCGGCCTGAAGATCAGCTCTCTGCTCCACAGCGAGAAGTGCTCTTCAGACGCACGATTCCCCGAAATGAAGTTCACTAACAGCTTCATGATCCGCTTCCATATCTTCTCAGACGGCGGGTAGACCTGGCCTTGGAAAGCAAGGATCGGGCAGACGTAAGCGTTCACCACCGCCACCCTTGCTGTCGTGGTGAGATGCTGAGAGCGCCATTTCACCAGTTCTTCCGCCGCTCTGGCCAGCGCCTTCTCCCAGGTGACCTCAGCACTTCCGGACGGGGATACCCAAACCCCCAGTAGCCGCTCTGCTTCTTTAGGCTCGACCCACGTGAAAGCTGACTCCACATCTTTTCTTTTTTCCAAGTTCTTTCCCAGCGGTAATATTGCCGATTTGTCTTTGTTCACCCGAAGGCCGGAGCGGGCCCCGAACTCCTCCAGGAGCGCCTCTGCTCGACCAATCTGCTGCTTCCCTTTCAGCACCAGAGTCGTGTCGTCAGCATAACCAAGGTAGGCCAGCCGGTCCCCATGGTCATCGCATATACCTAACCTCCTGCGCTTTGCTTCTTGGCAGATTGGCTCCACCGCACACAAGAATAAGTATGGCGCGAGCGGACACCCCTGGCGGACCCCCTTGCAGACATCGACACGGTCTCCCAGCCAACCGTTGACCAAGAGGCGCATGAAGGACCCCCCATGCAGGCCCTTGCACCAGCCGATGAACTTCTCGGAGAAACCCATCAGCGCCATCGTGTCGAAGAGGAAGGGCCGCGATACCGAGTCGAAAGCCTTCTGAAAATCCACCATCATCAGATACCAGTCCTCATTAGCATTGTTCGCGACCTCGATCACGTCAGCCACCATCGACACCGCGTCCGAGAGCCGCCGCCCGGGAAGGAAGCCGTGCTGCTCCTCCGAGATGACCGTTCCTAGCACCTTCTTCATTCGGTTAGCCAGCAGCTTCGCCACAACCTTGTAAGAGCTTGTCAGCAAGGTAATTGGCCTATAGTTCTGCACCAGCTCCTTCGGGCCCTTCTTGTGCAGCAGGATAGTCACCGCCTCCTGCACCTCCTCCGGGAGCACCGCCGTTTCTTCAAACTTTTTGATAAAACCCATGAAATCCTCCTTTAGCAGGTCCCAGTGCCGCTCAAAGAGCTCCTTCGGGAGGCCGTCGTTCCCAGGGGACTTGTCCTGCGCCATCCCGCTCAGCGCCTCCTTTACCTCTTCTTCCGACCATTCCGCATCCAGCAGCGCTGCTTCATCTTCATTTAATGTTTTACCCACATCTGGCTTCCAGCATGGCAGGCCTGACGGTGGAGCCTCTGCAAACAGCTCTGCGTAGAAGCTGGATGCAGCCTCCAGAATCCCCTTCGTCCCCCTCTGCTCTACCCCCTGCACTGTCAGAGCCGGGATCATCGTTCTCGTCTTCTTGGACTTCACTTTCCCGGAGAGAACCTTCGACGCAATTTCTCCCTTTGTCTGTTCTTTTACCCCTGCAAGGAGATGCAGCCTCTCGTTTTCCCCTTTCAGGTACGCCTCCGGCTGGGCCTCCTTCTCCAGAAGAGTCACTCGTAGGTCGTCACGGTGAGGTTCACGCATCACCGCATGCTGCAGACCAGAGACCGCCAGCTCCAGATGCCGCAGGGTCGCCCGCACCCTCTTCCGTTCCTCCGTGGCGTATCTCCTGAGCGCCGCCTTGAGCTTGGTGAGTAGGGACCCGAAACTCCCCGACTTCCCCGCACGATGCCTCTCAGTAACTGCACTGACCACTTTTTCCACCCCTGGCTTTGCTGTGTCTGCAGATGGCAACCGCCAAATCCCGGGGCCAAGATGCAATCTCAGGTTCGCCTGCAGCACCACCCTGATGCCGAATTTGTGATCAGCTATCCCTTTCAGCGGGCGCGTGTGAGCAGCTGCCGTCACTGACGAGAGTAAATCTCCTGACACCACAACCCGATCGATCTTCGAGCTGGACTTCGTTGCACAGGCATAGAAGGTGTATTCTCTACCACTCGGATTCAACGTCCGATACGCGTCTGCCATCTGAAGACTCCCGAAAAGCCGCATCAGCCTCTCATTCTCCCCGCACGGGCCCCCACTCGGAGACCTGTCCAGGATCGGGTCTTCCACGACATTCAGGTCGCCAGCTAGGAGCACCTTGCTCCGACCCCCCAGGTTGGACAGGAAAGGCTCCAGCACCTCCCTGAAGAACGTTGCTCGGCAGCAGGCGCTCGCAGGGAAGTATGCAGCCAGGATGGTGAAACTGTAGGTGTCCCACCTCACGTCCACCTGGATTAGCCTCCCCGAAGCATGTAAGACTTTGTTCTCGAAAACCAGCTGTTTGTTGTTGCTGACAACCGCTACCCCCCCCGCTCTCTCTGCATTCGCCACCGTGATGCAGTGATGGAAGTTCAGCCTTTTCCAGCACTCATGATCTGAAGTGACACGTGTATCCGTGAAAATAAAGATGTCTGCTTCCTTTCTTGTCCATTTTTTCAGGTTCCGCTGTTTCCCTCTGCTCCCGAGCCCGTTAACGTTGAGCTCGCATATTGACAGTCTGCAGGGCTTATCCATTAAACAACCAGGTAGGAGCCCCAAAGCATCCACGGGCTGTGAAGAGAAATCTGAGACAGAGAGAGTTACCACTATATAGCAGTGCATACATCACGAGAGATTCAACCAATTGTAAGCTAGAAATACAAATCCGTGTAGCCGAATCATTACTTCCACCAAATGCCCACTGCAGGGTGTCTTGTCTCGTCATGCCATCATCCTTTTAATCTTGGAAACTTACCAAACCGCTAAAAGTGCCTACAGAACGTTATAGATCTTACTGAACCGCATGAAGTTGAAGCCTTACGCCACACCCTATTTTTCACCCTAGACTTTGAACCTCTAAGCGAAGCCACACCTCCACCACCAACATCCACCCCGTCCGCCACCGCATTAGTCGGCGTGACACGCGTTGCTCCCTTCGCTTCTCGTTTCACGATCCCGAGGGAGCAATTTCGTGCTTGCTGAACTCGGAAAGTTTCGCTTCGCGCTGTCACCACGCCGCTCCTTTCCATCACCAACGCTATCTGCTGGGCTTCCCCATTATCTCGCTCCGATCTCCGCCCCTCAAACTCCATTGTCCTTAATCGCCGAACCTTCCGATCCTATGGCGTATCTTCGCCAGGTCACCACGAGGCTCGGCTCCTCGTCTCTCGAGGAAGCTCGGCATCGAGGCTTAGATCTGTTTCGCGAGACCTGTCGCGCGTTACCGAGCATTATGTTTCGCTACAACCTTGACGAAGTGATCACGCGACAGGAGCTGCGCTCGCGGATCGCCAACGAGTTTCGGCGACACAGCGACGTCGAAAATCCCAAGGTGTGGTGTGGATTCTCTAGGGTATCACCAGGGACCGACGCCCAGCCATTCACTATGCATTCGCCATTCTTCGCAGATTCACTTTTCTAGGCAGGGACAAGCGTAAAGAAGCTTGAATAAAGTAGCTGGGGCAGCAAAACTATCTGAGGCCTGTGCTCCGAAGCGAGACTGTACGACCCTCGTACCACGAGGCACGATACATTCTGGACTGGGACATTGCCCTCGCTCCTTTTGAGGCGCCTCAAAAGTCGTCTCATGTCTGTACGGCCCTCGTACCACGAGGCACGATACATCCTGGACTGGGACATTGCCCTCGCTCCTTGGTGACTTTTGAGTCGACTCAAAGGTCACCTCGCTCCTTGGCTTGGCCTCCTGGTTGTTTTTTGAGTCGCCTCTAAAGTTTCAAGGCGAGTTTGAGTCGCCTCAAAAGTTTCAAGGCGAGTTTGAGTCGCCTCAAAAGTTTCAGGGCGAGTTTGAGTCGCCTCCAAAAGCATAGTTAACTGTATCAGTGCCCTCGTTCCTTGGCCTCTTGGGGTGTGGGGAGTGGATTACGTGATGGCTACTTCAGAGTCACAACTCACATTACTTTTGAGTCGACTCAAAAGTCACCTCGCTCCTTGGCTTGGCCTCCTTGGCTGTTGCGTCGACTAAAGATAGTCCGTACGAGCTGTCCGTACTACGAGGTGTGTGATACACTCTGGACTGCGTTACAGACCCTCTTGAGTCGACTAAAACGGATACAGACCCTCAGTACAGTGCAGAGGGTACTTACTACGAGGTCTGATACCCTCTGGACTGCATCAGTGCACTCACTCCCTGGCCCTTGGGTTTGTGGAGAGTGGGTGAAGATAAGATGGCAAGTTCAGACTCGACTGAAGAACCACATGTTGGACTGATTTGTGTCACTCTTCTCTCAGCTTGAGATGTAGAGAGTGAATGGCGGGGCAGCAAGTTCAGAGAAGGCGAGTTAGATTTCAGGAAAGAATGTAACCGCTCGTACAACTTGATTGCATGGCGAGCTCCTGGTGTCAATTCTTCTTTCTCCAGGTCGTGTATTTGCTCCTCTATTATCACCCCTCCCAGCGTTCAGGTCACTGAACAATCCGTATTCGGCCGTTCAAGCCATACAGGTCTGTGAAGCCACCAAGCTGGACATACCACCCAGCTTTTGAGCCCTCATTTATAAATGAGCGCCCAGCTTGAAGGCCATGCTCATTTACAGCCCTCACTTATCTCCAGCAAGTCGCATATCTGCTTGTTGCCAAGGGCTCAGAGGGGCCGTTGAATTTCACACCCAGTCAGTCAAACATTGGTCCTGCCGACCCCAGCTTTACATGTGCCTCCATCTACTGTTGATAAAATTGGAATCCGGCATCTCTCTCCGTCAGGTGATCGATCTGATGGTGGTGAAGGGCAAGGAGGAGCTGGTGAATCTCCTCAACCACTCGAAGCAGCGGCACCGCGTGATTTCGCAGTGGGTGGTGGGGCCACAGGGGCAAGTGCCCACCATCCCACCACAAGCGTGGCATCGTGCCCAAGGGCAGTGAATCCGCGTTCCTTCGAGAATTGCTGAACGCATGTAACTCTTTGTCCCATTTGTAACCCCTCACTGCCCGTCAGGTGATCGATCGGATGGTGGTGACGGGCAAGGAGGGGCTGGTGATCACTCAACGCAGTGGTTTTGCTACGTGTGTCTCTTTTTCCCCGTTATATCCCTGTTTCTCCCTGTCAGGTGATCGATCTGATGGTGGTGAAGGGCAAGGAGGAGCTGGTGAATTTCCTCAACCACTCGAAGCAGCGGCACCACGTGATATCGCAGTGGGTGGTGGGGCCACAGGGGCAAGTGCCCACCATCCCAGGAGGACCCCACCACAAGCCTGGAATCGTGCCCAAGGGCAGTGAATCCGCGTTCCTTCAAAACTTCTACGAGAGCAACTGATCTGGATCGGTTGCAATGGTTTAGAGTGGAGTGGAATGGAAACCTGTAATTGAGCAGCTAAGAGGACCCCACCACAAGCCAGGCATTGTTCCAAAGGGCAGTGAATCCGCGTTTCCTAAAAAAAATCTATGAGAGCAACTGAATATGAGTGGTTATAATGGATACGGGCGTGGTGTGGAGTGGAAACTTATAGACGAGGGCGTGTATTGTGGGAGTTTCGTGATGCTTTACTGTTGTGCAATGTACTTACTTCCAACTGTTGTGCACTAGGATCTACAGTTACAGCTTGATTGGTGTCAATTGTGTACTTGGGAAAAAGATCCACCAATGCTGGTAGCGTCATTGGCTCACTCGATACAGCCTACCATAAAAGCTAGGGAGGAATTCGACTCCACTAGATCGAACCCAGAATCTCTGGTTCCGTAGACCAGCGCCTTATCCATTGGGCCATGGAGTCACGACCTACTCGCAAAGATTTATATAATCAATTTCAAATGTTCCCTAAAAATACTTCCTCAGGGCGGGTCCAGCGCATACGTTTTCGGTTGCAGTGCAGTTCATCCTGTGCGGTTAATTTTATTGCCTAACGGTGCAAAGCGGTGAAGATTTAAAACCGCTGTGCACCGGCTGATATCGCCTCGAACATTGATGGATGAACTGTAAATTACCTGTAACGTACGCGCTGGACCCGCCCTCAGCCTACTCTACTGAGTGCTTAGCTTACACAACTACTGTTAGTATAACTGTGACTACATCTGTGTAAGGATGATTCCACAGGCTTCACATCACACCTCCAACCTCCATAGCAGCAGCTCATTCCAGGAGTCTGGCACCCCTGGCAAGCAATAGTGTATGCAATCAGGGTGACTTCCTGGAGTGTAGATCCCAGGATGCCCATCCTGTCTCAATAGAGTCAAGTTGTGCAAATCTAAAAGAGAGATATGTGCTCCAACCATATCCTGCTGCTGCTGCGGCAGCTGCTGCTTGGTTGCGACTGTACTTCCAGCTCCTCCAGAGCGCCTCCGTTGCTCCGCTATAGAGTGCTGCACAACCTCTGTTAGTATCACATTTCGTTCCTGAATAGGCGGCGCTCTGGCATGACTCAGACCATCCAAATCATCAGGAGAAATCGGTCGAACGGATGGGCAGGACTGGTTCACGCCTTTATGCGAAGGCATCGTTGTAGTCACAATCACATGCTTGCCCGTGAAGGGTTGCTCCAGGAAAGCTGCTAGGGTGGAGTTGAGAGCGGTGCGGTAGGATGTGAGTATGTCGGTGTGACTGTACGGAGGGGCGAGTGCGATGTTATAGAAGCCGAGTTGAGAGGTGGTCCACCAAAGCCCTGCAAGACAGGTGGGAGTCATAAAATGCAGGGAGGAAAGTGTGGGAAAGGTTAGGGGGGTGACTGTACAGAGGGGTAAGCGTGGCGTTATGTTATAGAAGCCGAGCTGAGAGGTCGTCTACGAGAGCCCTGCGAGACAAGGAGTCACGAAAAATGAGCGGGGCGGAGAAAAGGACGGGGAGGATAGGGAGGTGACGATACGGAGGGGAGAGTGTGTGATGCGAGAGGATAAGAGATGCGAGGCGGACCACCAAAAGACCATGACAACAGGTAGAACGGAAGTCACGAAACAAGAAGGACGAAAGAAAGCTTTGTGAGGTGAGTGTGAATTGGTGGGAGGGAGCGGGAGGGGAAGGGGGCGAGTGTGGTCTAGAGGCATGTCGGGCGAAAGAGTTTATTTTTGAGGCGCCTCAAATTTAGGCATGTGAGGGAAAGCTGTTTTTACTTGTCCCCAATGTTCTCTCCATGGATTCAGCAGGGTGGGGTGAAGTGGGGACCTAGAGAATGAGAAGAATGGAAAGATGGAGAACGAGAAGGGTGAGAGACAGGGGTAATGTCGAAGAACGTCACTATTCAAGAAGTGGCTACAAGAGCGCAGTGAAAGGGTAACTTACCCGAGTTAATGACAAAGACATCAAAGTTTGCAGATTGGTCCATCCATCCCTTGGCTGGTTGGTCCACGTGGATGGTTCCCCCATCTGACACGTATCTCTTGTTCCATGCCACGTGGGACAAAAACTGGTGGCTGAGAGTGAGTAAGGCAAGCGGTAAATAAGAGAGGAGGGAAGAGGGGCAAGGAGGGAGGTGGGTGTTCAAATCGCAGCGGATGGCCGATGGGAGGGGAGGATGGGGGAGAGCGGAGGATTTGGGGAAGGGGGGGTGGGTGGGAGGTTTTGGGGGGGGGTTGAAGGGGAGAGCGGGGGAGGATGGGGGAGGATGGGGGAGGGTGGGGGTACGGGGGGATGAAAAGGGAACAATGAATGACATTAGTAAGATAGTGATTATAACTTCCCTTTTTGAGGGTTACAAAAAAAAGCAAATTCTGATGGAATCTCAACCCCGAAACTAGGCCAGGACGTGGCTTGGGAGGTAGCGTTGGTGAGAGAACTAGAGGTGGGGAGAAGGGCAAAGGTGGGGTTGGTAGCTAGAAATGAAAGGCGGAACAGGGACGAACGGAGAAGGGGAAAGGGTAAACTGGAAAAGGACAATGCTAGTTCCCAGGAGCATCAGCAAGCGAATACACCACTGCCAAGGGAAATGAGAGTTGTCAGGAACATGGGAGCGCAGTGCAACTCACAAGAGAATTCCGAGAGTGAAGTTGCATTTCGGCCAGAAGTAAATGCGGTCTCTTAACGAGTTCAGCTTCACGACTGGCATGCCTTCAAACGCGTACGCCATGCAGGCCAGCGACTCGAACATGTTCTGGCTCAGCGAGTCCCCAATGAACGCGATGCGACGATTCACCACGCGTTTGCACAAAATCGCCCGCGTCAACTTGGGAATGCCACCTTTGCACGAACTCGTTTGCGAAACTTTTTCCTGTTCGCGAAGTTTCCAGCGTAGCTTTGCAAAGGCTTTATCTGGCCGGCCGTATTTGCTACACTTGCTGGTTTCGCGCGCGAGAGGACACGCGTCCGTTTCGTATAGCGGCCACGACGAATCCGCTTCCCACGCGCCGTCGTCCAAGTCGCACTGCGATGACGACGGCGACGAGGGCGACGAGGGCGACGAGGAGGACGGCGACGACGTTTGCGACTCGCCAGCGGCGGCTACATTGCTAACTCGAACGTCCATCCCATCGGCTTCATACATGTCCGGGCACCCGATGACACTCGGAATAATGGGACGAATGACCGTAGTATCCGACGCGGCGTCGACTTTGACCGCCGTGGCGTTGACCCTTGCATTATCCCGTCGTGTCTCTAGCGCGACAGGACCTTGCGCCGCGCTACGCGGCAGGACCTTAGTGTTCTTCACAAACTGTTTTTCCCGCCCCTGCGCTTTGTGCGGCGCCCTTTGCGGCGTCCATTGCGGCGCCTGTAGCGGCTTTCCCTGCTGCGGCGATTGCCGTGGCTCACCCTCCGGTCTATCCAGGCCCGCTGTTAGCTTCTCCCGAGGCGACTCCAAAAGCGCCTCGAAATTCGTCTCGCGAGAATCGTTCTTGAGCGGTTCGCTCGCCTGTTTCCCCAGGACGGTGGCTCGAGATGTCGACACGCAAGGGTCGAGTGAAGCGGCGAGAAGGAAGAGCGAAAACAAGAAAGTAGTAGTCGACCTTCTAAGAAGGTGCCGACAGTGAGGGTTTGAATGCGACAGTGAGTGTCCTGGTTTAGTTATAGGAGCTGAATGCGGCTCGGGCGTGGATGGCTGTAACTGCCTGTTTACAATCTTCATTTGAGCGGGGTCGGATGAGACTGAATCACCGCTGAACCAACAATATTTAGCCTACTCTCGCTGGATACGAAAAAGGACAACTAACCGAAACGCGTAGTGCAGATATGAAACGGCCAGGGAAGCGGACTGGAGCACGGAAGGCTGGGTTCAGTGGAGGAGTAGCGACGGCTACAGGAGTAGGGGAATGGCAGTAGGCATCACTCGCAGTGGTTGGCGCGTGATGCGGAGGCAACTAATAAAGCCGAGAAACGAATTTCTGATGGTGGCGGGAGGCGAACCTATAGTTTGGCGATTCCCAAAATCGCTGATGCGCGTAGCGAGACTCGACGAAGCTAATTTCGCGTGACCCGGCCTGCCATTTGCGCTTGGCAAGTTACCCAGGCTCAGTGTCGTGAATTTCGCCTGAGTCACCTTGTCGCGATTTTGCTTCGCGCCACTCGCTGCCACATGTATCTGCGGGCCGACGATGAGTTGGCGGTGAAGTGTGGGGGTCTGGCTGTCGAGTTGGGTTGGGCGCTGAAGCGTGGCGACGATTGTGGTTCCGTGGAGGCGTTTCGACCAGTTGTGGAAAAAGACGAGGCCTTTGCCAGAAAACTTTAAACGGCCAAGTGTTTTACTCAGTCACAAAACACATTTCCCAACTAAGTGTTGTTGTGCGATGGTGTGAGGTCCTAATCACAACTGAAGAAGCGGACTTATACTGGACTGGTGGGTCCGCACTGAGAAGTGTCGCGTTTCCAGTCAGTAGTGAGGTACTGCGTCTGAGAACTTGACAATAAGTGTGTGCGAGACTAAAAAACATTGGAGTTGTCGCTAACGTAGGTGCACAGGGAGGCTGAAGGGATGAAAAAAAATAAAGAGAGTATTCAGACCGTTATTTCGGTGAAACAAACTTTGAGATGAGGGTATGAGGAAACGGTTTTGCAAACCACAGGAAGATTGATCTATGAACCTACAAATATCTTACTTTTCTGACTATAGACTCTCCAAATTGTACCCTCTAATATCGACCTTCTGCTGCACATTAGCCTACCACTCTACTGCTTCCCGAGTGCCCAGAATGTAGGCGAATACAGTGAGGGATGAAAGGTTGAAACCAATATCGAGTACAAATAGAAAGCTGCCGGCTCACACAGCAGCGTCGGGACTCGGGCGGGACTCGGAATTCTGCTCTGGACTGACATCTCCAAGACCACCATCAACCACCTCACCCCCAGACTACTTCAAATTGGTTCAGGACGGTTCTACACGGTGCAAACTGGTTTTCAGATTGTACCGATATGCACCGTGACGCAACGAATCAGACCGCAAACAAACGCATAGAAGACGTAACCTCCACCACGCCCAATCCCAAGAACACACAAAACAGCCATTGCCTGACGAACACATGCAAAATACTACCTTCCGTACTGGTTTTGCGGCCTGTCTGTGTGGTGCTGCGTGAGTGGATTTGCAGACTTCATGAAGACGTGTCACGTGTATTTATCCAGGAGAACTATACGAAATAATGGATTGTCAGGTACTTCAGACATGAATAAATAGGTAACGCGCGACGACCATTCATTACCTCGTGCTTCTAACGAAACACTCCAACGGCTCACTCATGCACCTGGCCTAGTGTCTGTCTGTCATGCTCACATTTCGCACAACATCGCGTTGCGATGTACTGAAGAACCCACATCAGTAAAGAAGCATACATTGTCTTATATATTATCATTATCATTACTATTATTTTGACGGCTGTCTCCACAATGAAGCCTCTAAGCGTTCACATGCCGTCGGAATACGTAGAAGACGAGGAACCTTCGCCGGCCTTTCCGCAAACCAGCCTTATCCGTCGAGACCGGGACGACGAGGAGTCCCATTTTGGTAACAATACCAGGGTAAATCCCCCCGAGCCGCCGACAAAAGCCTGCTTAATAGGCCTAACGATCTTCGTCTGTCTCTTAGTCGTCCTCGCGGTCCTAATAGCTATCTGGGGCTTCAGACCAGCGGCTCCTGCGGCGGGAGATGCGGCGATGCAAGCGGAAGGGAAGCAGGTCGACGCGAGCGCAAATGACGGCGCAACTAGCGGCGGCTCGGGGAGCGCGGCGAACACGGGGAGCGCGGGGAGCGCCGGAGGAAACGGTCAGGCTCCCCCGCCGGATCCGCCATTGCACGACTACAAGGCGGCTTTGAACCTGTGCCTCGATTTCTTCGACGCGCAAAAGAGCGGCGACCTGGCGCTGTGAGTGCTGCTGCTGAGTGTTGAAACTGCTTAACTGCTTTAACTCAACCTTGTGCCTGGTTATCTCTGGCGCGCATGTGCATCAGAGCAGGGCCCTCTGCACACTGCCACCTTCCGCTTCCCTCTATTCCCCTGTCTGTCCCCCCACCCCCTGCTCACAGCCTCACATTTCCTTGCTTCCCCGCTCCTGTTCCCCCGCGCCTTCTCACCCGCCTCTCTCCCCCACGCCCCCACCCTCCTCCTCGTACCTCCCCTGCCACAGCACCCCGCACCCCCCCTGGCGCAACAGCTCTCATGTGCAGGATGGGAGCGCAGTGGGGAGAGACCTGGCAGGGGGTTACTATGTGGACGGGGGTGGAGTGAAGCAGACGGGGGTGACTGCCTTCGCTATGAGCATGCTGGCTTGGAGCATTGTCGAGTTCGAGTGAGTGCTTATATAGGGTACGTGTGAGTGTTTATATGGGGTACGGTTGAGAGCTTTTATGGGATACGGGATGTTCATTGAATGGTACCGTATGGTATGGTATGGTATGGTATGGTATGGTATGGTATGGTATGGAATGGCATGGTATGGCATGGTATGGTATGGTATGGTATGGTATGGTATGGTATGGTATGGTATGGTATGGTATGGTATGGTATTGGTGTGGTATGGTATGGCAAGGCGTGGTATGGCTAGGCGTGGCATGACATCGCATGGCATTGCATGGCATGGTATGGCATGGTATGGCATGGCATGGTATGGCATGGCATGGTATGGCATGGCATGGTATGGCATGGCATGGCATGGTATGGCATGGCATGGTATGGCATGGCATGGTATGGCATGGCAGGGCATGGTATGGTTAACCACTCAAATGGGGAGTGGACTGGCTGCTCATGGCGGATCTGGGCCGGGGCTGTGTTGTGTCTCACATTTTCCCTCCCCACCCCCTCCTCTTCTAGTGCTGATCTAGATGCGACAGGGTGGAAGCAGCGGGCAGTGGACCTGCTCAAATGGGGAGTGGATTGGTTCCTCATGGCGGATCTGAGCCGGGGATGTGTGGTGGCGCAAGTGGGTGCCTTCGTCGTCCCATTGTTCTCCCACCCCTTCCCCCTCAGTCCCGAGCTCGAAGCAACAGGGTTGAAGCAGCGGGCAGTAGACCTGCTCAAGTGGGGAGTGGACTGGCTGCTCATGGCGGATCTGGGCCGCGGCTGTGTCGTGGCGCAAGTGGGTGACTCTGCCGCCCAGAACCAGTGCTGGCAGCGGCCAGAGGACGACTCTGCCGCCCGGCCCGTGTACACTGTGGTGGGCGCGAACGGGCCGGGGGCGGCGGTTCTGGCTGACATGGCTGCTGCCTTTGCTGCTGGTGAGATAGTGTGTGCGAGAGATGGTGTGTGAGATAGAGTGTAAAAAAAAAGGTTTGAGTTTGACCCTGCATATGTCTCCTTGCTGTCGGATCACACAGCTCCCCCCACCCTTCTGCTCCTGCCTCCTCTCCCCTCCCCCAGCCTCACATGGGTCTCCTATTCCGGTGAGTTTGACCGTTTGACCCTGCTGTGGAGGTAACATCCCCTATCCCCTCATACACCACCCTCCACTTTCGCCCTTTCCCATGCCCCAACACAACACCCCAGCCTCGCATGTGTTTGGCGAGTTTGACCCCGGATACGCCGCCTCGCTGAGAGACCACGCTACCATGCTCTTTGAACTCGCCACCACCGCCACCTCCACCGATGAGTGAGCAGCTTCCCTTCTGCCTGCCCCCTTCTCTCAATGCCCGTTCTTCCCACTCACCCACCATTCACCACTGCCACCTCCACCAATAAGTGAGTTGCCTGCCCCTGAAGCTCCGCCCCTCTGTCTGCCTTTCTGCCTGTCTGCCTCCCTGCCCCTCTGCCTCTCTGCCTCTCTGCTTTTCTTTTTACCTGCTCTGGGTAACCACATGGTTGCTCATGCTCATGCTCATGCTCATGCTCATGCTCGTGCTGATGCAGAACGCCGAGTCAAAACAGCATGGCAGCATGGTTTCTAAAACGATTCCTCTCCATCTAACCCTTATGCCTCTGCAACCTCTACCAGCGCTGCTCTACAAGGCACTCTCCCCTACCAGCCACCCCCATCCTCCTCGCCTGACTTTCACGATGAGCTGCTGTGGGCGGCGGCTTGGCTATGGCGCACCACCATGTCTGACCGCCTGCATCAGTACCTGCTCAAGGTCAGTTCCCTTCACCAGTACCTTATCTTATCCCATTCGAGTGCATGCTACCGGCATGGCTATGGTGCACCACCATGTCTGACAGCCTGCATCAGTACCTGCTCAAGGTGGGCTTTTGTGCTGCTGGTGGGTTTCAGTGTTACTCCTAGTCACTGCTTATATCAACTGCTACCGGCATGGCTATGGCACACTACTACCATGTCTGACGCCCTGCACCAGTACCTGCTCAAGGTAAGTTCCCTCTGTATCCCAACACTCTACTTTCACTGCTGCCACTGCCTGTCACATGTTCTACTGCCATGCCTGTGCCACACCACCCCATGCCTGACGTTTCTCACCAGTACTGCTGGCGTGAGTTCCTTCCCATGCTGGCATGGCGGCTATATTGAAATCACTTTTGACAATTCTCAAATGTGACGTTTCTCACCAGTACTGCTGGCGTGAGTTCCTTCCCATGCTGGCGTGGCGATGTTAGTGCGGGGGTGGGGCCCATGGAGGAGGAGGAGGAGGAGGAGGAGGAGGAGGAGGATGAGGAGGAGGAGGAGGAGGAGGCCACCACACAGGCAGGCACACACTAGCACACACACTAACGCGTATCACTTGCGTGGTGCTAGTGAGCGGCTCTGCTTCCACTTTGAGTCGACTCAAAAGCATTGCGTGGTGCTAGTGAGCGGCTCTGCTTCCACTTTGAGTCGACTCAAAAGCATTGCGTGGTGCTAGTGAGCGGCTCTGCTTCCACTTTGAGTCGACTCAAAAGCATTGCGTGGTGCTAGTGAGCAGCTTGTGGGACTCTGCTTCCACTTTGATTTGATCCCACAAGCCGCTCACTACTGCCTCCTTTTGAGGTGCCTCAAAAGTTTTTTTTTTTAGGCGCCTCAAAAGTGGTGCTAGTGAGCGGCTTGTGGGACTCTGCTTCCACTTTGATTTGATCCCACAAGCCACTCACTACTGTCTCCCCTTGTTCCCCCAACCCAACCCAACTCCCCCTGTTCCCCCGTACGAGTCCCATCAGCCCCAGCATGTGTCGCTGCCCTACTCGCTCGCCTTCACTCACGCCAACAAGGCAGCGGGAGCAGCAGTGCTGCTGGCGATGTTCGTGCTGGGGCCCATGGAGGAGGAGGACGAGGAGGAGGAGGAGGAGGAAGAGGCAACCACAGGCAGACGAGGCGGCCACACAGGCGTGCCAGTTTTGAGCCGTCGCAGAAGCTCTCTCTTCTCCCCTCCCACCCCTCTCAGCCCATCAGCCCCAGCATGCATCATTGTCCTACCCGCTCAACTTCACTCACGCCAACAAGGCAGCGGGGGCAGCAGTGCTGCTGGCGACGTTCGTTTTGGGACCCATGGAGGAGGAGGACGAGGCCACCACTCAGGCACACTCTAGTGCGCGCACCAACACACACTAACGCATACCACCTGCTCTGCTTCCACTTTGGTTCCCCCAACCTTCCTATTCCTCCCTTTGAATCCCCAGCCCCAGCATGCGTCACTGCCCTATTCGCTCGCCTTCACTCACGCCAACAAGGCAGCGGGGGCAGCGGTGCTGCTGGCGACGTTCGTTTTGGGACCCATGGAGGAGGAGGACGAGGCCACCACACAGGCATCTGGGGCTGACGTCATCTTCAGATTCCAGAAGCTCATGGAAGCTTCCATCTGTGCTTCCACAGCTGACGTGCCATCCAGGACCAGTGCTGAGACTCTAGCCCAGAACATGCCCAAAACGCAAGGTAAGATGGCGTGTGTGTGTCTGATTGTGTGTGTGTGGCTGGCTGTTAACCGGTGGAATTCTGCTGCTGGCAATGCTGTTGGGGCCTTGGGATGGGGCAGCTCAAAACTCCACGGGGGAAGGGGAGGGGGAGGAGGAGGATGAGGCCACCACACACACAAGCATCTGACGCGAATGTCATCTTCAGATTCCAGAAGCACGTTGAGGCGTCCGCCTCAAAAACGACCTCAGAAGAATGTTGAGGCGTCCATCTCAACACTCAATCTCGCTTCCTTTCCTGTGCTCCCCAGCCTATGTTTTTCTAGAATTCTCAAAAAGCATACGCTGCATCTCAACACTCTCTCTCGCTTCCTTTCCTGTGCTCCCCAACCCCCTCCCCTCGTCTCATTCAACCCCACACCAGGAGGGCTGCTATGGCTGGACGAGAATGAGCCGCTGCATGCAGCAGTGCAGGCAGCCTTTCTTCTCAACACTTACTCTCGCTTCCTCAAGCAAGGCGCAGAGGACGAGGGGCGGTGCTCTGGCGTGTCACCACATGCCGTGTCAACACTCTCTCGCTCCCAGGTGAGGTCACAGGAGTTGAACGCACGCAGCAACACAGGCAGCCTTTCTTCTCAACACTTACTCTCGCTTCCTCAAGCAAGGCGCAGAGGACGAGGGGCGGTGCTCTGGCGTGTCACCACATGCCGTGTCAACACTCTCTCGCTCCCTGGTGAGGTCACAGGAGTTGAACGCACGCAGCAACACAGGCAGCCTTTCTTCTCAACACTTACTCTCGCTTCCTCAAGCAAGGCGCAGAGGACGAGGGGCGGTGCTCTGGCTTGTCACCACATGCCGTGTCAACACTCTCTCGCTCCCAGGTGAGGTCACAGGAGTTGAACGCACGCAGCAACACAGGCAGCCTTTCTTCTCAACACTTGCTCTCGCTTCCTCAAGCAAGGCGCAGAGGATGAGTGGCGGTGCTCTGGCGTGTCACCACATGCCGTGTCAGCACTCTCTCCCTCCCAGGTCCGTGCCATCACAGCACTCTCGCACGGTCGCAAGTGAGGGCAGAAAATATGCTCTATGAGACGGCCCAAATGCATTGTGTAGCTCGAAAAATTCCACATCAGATTTACAAAACTGTGTTGTACTGAATGATCCAAGGATGTTGATTGGTGGTGAATAATGATACTCTGTTATCTTTCTGTCGCTTCAAGCAAAAAATCTTATGTCGCCTCCCTGTTTGTTATTCAGATTGACTATCTTCTAGGGTCTAATCCGCAACAACTCAGCTACATGGTGGGCTTTGATGAGAAATACCTCAAGTTTGTTCGCCATCGAGGAGCGTCGATTCCATCCCTGGCATCCGATCCAACGGTGTACACATGCTCATCGGGTCAACAGTGGCTGCAAAGCAGCTCACCCAACCCCAACATACTCTCAGGTGCACAAACCACACTTGATTACTGTAGAATTGTAGAATGGAATATTTCTACATTTTGCACACTATGTTGACCATTTTGCTGTGTTCCTTGTATTCGCTGTCCGCAGGAGCGGTGGTAGGAGGGCCAGACCACAGCGACATTTTCAATGACTCGAGATTCAATCGCCTAAATGAACCGGCTATTTACATAAATGCTGCCCTTGTTGGCCTGCTCGCTTCGTTCAGTAGTCCATAATCTTTAGTCCGGTGGCATCCATTCATTCCATTCACATATTGTGTTGTGGCTGTCATTTTGGATCACAACATGGTGCATACAAAATGACATGTGAATTGATTAAAAGCCAATTTTCTGAACCTACTGTTTTTCTGGATAAGAGTTATCCACTGATAAGAGTCTGGTTGAACTTTGTACCAGGTTGATTTGTTAATATTGGTGTCATGGATGAAGAGTTGGAGATATTGTAAAGGGTCATTGCATACGTAGTGAGTGATCACGCAATGCCTGTAACGAGGAGCCGCATAGGTCAACACAGGCTGTATTGACCTACAGCCATGGGTTCAGAGCAATTTGTTTTACATTTAGAGTGGTAAGCTGGATAGAAAATGCAGTGGCACAGCCACAGGGCAGGTCCGATACCGTATTTCTTCAGGTGAGTTTCCTGTGGGATTCAGATGGTTGTAAAGCGGCTCAGCGCGGCAGATAAAGGGAATTCGCTTGAATACACAGCATCGTACTGAACCGTTCAGACTCCGCGTGTCTGAGGTTCCTCGATGCCAAAATCCCCTCACTCACAGCACAGCTGCTTCCACACTCTCCCACTTGCGCGTCGCGCGCTTGCTCCCCCCGTTAGTTGCCTCACTGCTTGCCATGCCTCACGCAGCCATGGCGGCTGAAACACAGCAGCAACTTGTGGCGGGAGGTGCGTATGGCTGCGAAGCCGGCCTACAGCTGTGGGACCCTCCTAACTTCGGAGAAATTGAAATCGGCATGGCTGATAGGAGAGTTTTGAAAAAAATCATTGGTGGTCCCTTCCACGACACGAGCCAGAGTCGGTCCGTCGTTGTCAGATCAGAATAGAGTGCACGTGCCTTACTTATGGCGCGAACCAGCATATCCTAACAGACAAGCCACCTCCGTTGCTCTCTCCTGTTCCGCAAAGCTTCTCGCACCTCGTCTAATTCCCTTCTCACAAGTTCTAACGGGCGAGCTTTGTCCCTCCACAATACTCGTATTCTCATTACACCTGATTCTGAGACGTGAGACGGACCGGAGATTTTCGGCATCCTTCGCCTTGCCACCGAAAAGGATCTTGTAGTGGCCTTGTCACACATTTCCACGCGAAGAATTCCCTCTTCCTCACATTTGCTCACCTTCGCTCATGTTCGCTCAGGCTCGCTCGGGTTCGCTCCGCATTCTCGTCTGATAGATGCGGTAACCTGCCTCGTTAATGTTCCGCACTTGAGCACTAGAGCGTCCCCGTAGGCTTCACAACAAAGAGAGTAGTTTTGCGGATCGCTCCGATGGCCTCGCATCTCCGCTCATTCCCATCTCCCAGCTTTCCGCGACAAACCGCGAGCTCCCGCCAGTCCTCCTCTTCGTCCTCCTCCTCCTCTTCTGCAACTCGTTTGTTCATACAACGGTTATCGTCCTCCTCCTCATCATCATCCTCCTCCCCTTCCTCCTCCTGCTCCTCCTTTCTACGGTCCTCCTCGCACAATTCCAGAAGACGGCTAATCGGCTCCTACTGGCGATGCTCTTCGCAAATCTTCGCAATCGTCGTCGCTGCTGTTTTCGTTCGTGCGACAAGTGCGGGACAGGATTCACGAAGGAGCCTGATTGGCCACGACCAGACGTCTCAGGTGCCAGCGACGGTTCTATTATCGCCAGATCCGGTCTTTCCTAACGTGCTGGGTCGCATCAAGCTTTACGAAGAGGACGGAATGAGCAGCCAATTAAAGATCGCGGCGAGCGGTGCGAAGTCGCAGCAACAAGTCTCATCGTCGCAAGAGTCGTCGAAACCGTCGCCAACGTCGCCGTCGGCGCCAGCGGCGTGCGATCTGGAGGATGGGTCGTGGGAGGTTGACGACTCGTGGCCGCTCTACCAATCCGAGAGCTGCCCGTTCGCGCGGGAAGAAACGATGTGCGCGAAATACGGGAAACCTAACTTAGACTATGCGAAGCTGAGATGGGTGCTGACTGGCGAACGTGGTAACCCTGACGGCGGCTCTGGCGACAGCAGCGAAAAATGCTCAGTTCCAAATATCACGGGTTCGAATCTCTGCAAACGCGTCGCAGGGCACCGCATAGCGTTCGTGGGGGACTCGTTATCGCAAAACGCGTTTGAGTCTATGGCGTGCTTGATGCACCGATTCACGGGAATGCCGGAAGTGCGGCTGAACAAACACCGCGATCGTATGTACCACTGGCATCAGTGCAACTTCACAATCGCGTTCTCGTTGTAAGCAGACCCGATATGCCTTGTGTCACCCACTTTCCTCTTCGTTGTGTCGACGTGTTTCCTCCACAAATTGCATCCTGTTATCCCCCTCTCCTCCGCCGCTTTCTGCCATTTACCCATGCATCCCCTCTTGCCCCATTTTCTTCCCTTCCCTCCTTCCCTTCCCCCATTTCCTTCCGCTTGCTCCTGTGCCCCATATTTTCTTCTTTTCCTCTCTCTATCCCCATCTCCTTTTCATAATCTAAACTCTTCCTATCTCCCCTGACTCCCTTCCCTCCCCTCCCCCTCCTGCCCCCCGGTAGTCTTTCCGCTCATTCCTCTCCGTCCCCCTTTCCCCACACCCCTTTTCCCCGTCCGCGAATCTGCAGCCACCAGTTTCTGGCCGAGGTGGCATGGAACAAGGTCAAGGTTTCAGATGGAGGTGCCATCCTGCTGGACCAATCAGGGAAGAGATGGACGAAGCACATTCAAGCCTTCAACACGTTTGTCATCAACTCAGGTAAGGAAGCAATCACCAAAGCACACACTAATGCAGTCACTGATGCAATCACCAACGCATCACTGAAACGATCGCAGAAGCAACCTTCGCAAGCTAAGCACTTAGATGTGCTATCACTCAGTGAAAGAAAAAGCACTTGTGCATGCTTAGTGTGTGTGAAGAAGGACCTGACTTGCTCTGGCTCCCACGCATCCCTCCGATCTCCCACGCTCCTCCATATCACCCAAACAAACCTCATATCTCTCCTACGCACCTCACGCATCCCTCATATCACCCACACATCCATCATATCACCCACACATCATTCATATCACCCACACGTCCCTCACAACACCCACACATCCATCATATCACCCACACATCCCTCATATCACCCACACATCCCTCATATCTCCCACCCATCATAGGTCCCAAGCACCTGTCATACCTCCTGCAAACCTATCATATATCCAAAGCAATCCTCATACCTCCACACCACCCACCCACATCTCCCATACCCTGCACCTCTCCCATACCCCTCACATTTCCCACACACCCCTCATATCTGCCAGCCCATTTCATGGCTCGCCACTCCTTCCAGCCCTTTGTTTTCAGCCACTGCTTCTTTTATTCTCCTTCTTCCATCCACTCCTCCATCTCGCCCATTTCCATGCATGAGACTGTGCAAAACAGCAACAATACATTCACTAGACATGTCACTCGTGTGTTCCCTTCCTGCTGTTAACTTTCTACATGTTATGAACGTATTGACTATCCTGCCCTCACTTCTCTCCCTGCTTACCCTCCAGGCCATTGGTGGTCGGAATGCCAACTCACCCGCTACAACATCACCCTTGCACCTCCGTACAAGTCGCTCCAGTTTCTTCCTTCCATGTGTTACCAGCATATTAAAATGTTGCCCGCCCCTCCCTCCCTGCTTACCCTTTCAGGCCATTGGTGGTCGGAACGCCAACTCGCCCGCTACAACATCACCCTCGCACCTCCGTACAAGTCGCTCCACTATCTGCTAGCATATCGCCGCGCCCTCAACCAAACGCTCTCCGAGTTTCTGCGCCCAGAACTCGCTAGCAAACAGGTTTTCTTCACCACATCTGCCCCGTCCCACGACGTTCACGGACTCTGCCCAGAAAGAAAAATGGTCAAGAAGACTGACACAAAGCGGTTCAAGAGGATGCGACTCCCTTGGACGGTTGAAAAGAATACAGTTCTAGTTGATGTTGTTCGGGGGTTTGAGGAGAAGCAAGTGCGGGCGGCAAAAGGGTTCCAGGGGGCAAGAATAAAGCTCCTGGACATGTACAACGTGACACTGTATAGGCAAGAGGCGCACCCGTCGACGTTCAATGCGAGAGGTAATTGGGACTGCTTGCACTACTGCTTGCCGGGAGTGCCGGATGCTTGGAATGAGATTCTGCTCTGGCAGATGGAGGCTGGAAAGCCCAAAACCAAAAGGCCATGAACTGTTGATGTGTTGCTTGCGATATGTTAAGGGTATAGAATGCGTATTGCATGAAGAAATTTTGCCTTGGGTATTGATATCACTAATGTTAGGAATCTTAGGAAGTGGGGTTATTATACGAATGGTCACTGAACAGAGCGCGCTAACACAAATGGTCGCAGGGTTATCACGAACGGTCATTGAAACGGGCAAATCTATCACGGGTGGTCACTGATTTATCACGGATAGTCACTCGTCGCCCCATGATGCTATCACGAATAGTCACTGAAAGAAACGCCCGCCCGAAAGTTGAAATGCTTCCCCATGCGTTATCACACTGTTGCGATTTAGGGACTATTAGCGCGTTAATTCTGTTTGTCGTTTTAGTTGCAGCACTGTTTCTGTCTCATGGCGCCATTTTGTCTGTAGTGTTGCGAGACGTTGTTACCTACGAAATACTTTTCGTGACCACTCTTGCGAAATCGTAAAAAATCTCGCGAAATTTCTTGGCAACATCGGAAAGTTAGCTCGATCGTCCACTGTTTGATTTATGCATAATGTCCTAAGAATAGCACTTTTAGACGGGTGAAACTCGAAGTTTCTTTTTGTTCCAAGGAAAAAACTAAAACCCATTCGGATGGGATTTTCATCGGGAGGAATCAACCCTAAACACATTTCGCATGGTGTTTAGGGTTGATGCTTCCCAAAGGGTGTGCCGTCCTATAGGGGTTGATTTTTTTCTTCAGTCCTAGATTTCAGGCGAGAATCATGCGAGAGGTATCAAGCAATCGAATTTAAGATTCCTCAAAATCTCCACAGTTTTTCCTCAGGGAGTTTCAACTTTCCTTGAGGGTTTCATCGAGTGACCATTCGTGATAGAGATGCGGGGCAGCGAGTGACTATCCGTGATAGTACTATGATCATCCGTGATAGATTTGCCGGTTTCAATGACCGTTCGTGATAACCCCGTGACCATATGTGATAGCGCGCCCTTAATAGTGATTATCTGTATAATAACCCTTAGGAAGCGCACCCACCATTAGAAAAAAGCACCAGGCTTTCTAGCAGCGAGTTAGTGCAAATGCGTAAACAGGAGACTGTATTGTGGTGCTTTTCGTATGACGAGGTCAATAATCGCTTTCTGTATTGCTTCCACCGACTACCGCTGACTCGTTCTCGGCAAGCCCAAGAGTCCTCATCAGCAACACAGGCCACATGTTTCTGACATCTGCCCCTCACTGAACCTCCTGACCGAACCTTGGCAAACCCGAACCCAGACTTTTGAGGCTCATAAAATATGTGACTGGACTTTTCTGTACACTTCGGTGATTTTGGGGTTGAGTTCGGTGCTGTACGTTATGTAGCAGTTCGCTCGTTTATTTTCTGGATGTGGCCAGTACTGACCAAGGAAGCTAGGAGGAACTACCGTATTTGCCAGCATTACCTTTATCAGCAGCATATGATCGACAGTCCTGCTATTTATGTTTCAGTCTCGCCTTTCCAGCATTTTCTCCCTCCAGCTTTCCTGTTAGCTTCAGAATTGAAGGCTGGGTGCATGAGCATGTGCGTCCACGATCTAGGTTGCAGCTTTCTGTGTCAATATGTGGATTCTTTATTATTTAGGATGTATAATACTGCCTCCAAATTCCCCAGCGAAAAACTGTGAAGCCGCCTGCACTTTCAACAACGGCCTCATTCGAATAGCGTGTCAGTATAGCCAAACTCCACGTGTCGTGATGCGGGTCTGTAATTCCTTGTTAGATTTGTAATGCACGTGTCATTAACGACTCAGAGAAAAATGTGTTCTCCGAAGGTGATCACTTCAACAGGGCGACGCTTATGGTAGAAAGCGTATAATACGAGTTTCGCAGGACTCACCCGAATTCGGTCAGCAAAAGCCTTTCAATGGACCGACGCTCCAGGATGAAAGAAGCCATGGCGGAAGGCCTTAAAGAAGCCAGAGCGTGGGTCCAGAACCGGCCAGAAGTCATAAAAGCAGGCTGCCTCGCCTTAGCTCTCTCGCTCTTATTCATAATATACGCTCCGGCGTTCTTCTTCGGGTTGCTCGTCGGTGCCTCCTCCGTGATCGGCGGCGAGGTCCTTCTCCTGAAGCATCTCTGGAGAAAGATTCGTCCTCCGAAGAAGGAAGGTTCGGAAGCGGGGAATGCGCCTGCGCCGGATCCTGTACCCGAGGACCTTTTGGAAACAACCTCGTTATTGAAAGAGGTTCGTGTATAATTACCACGACATTTTGTCTCATTTCAGCTGTTGGATCTACATGGCTGGATTCTCCTGAACCAGAGGAGATTCTGAAATCAACTTGGATTCTGAACGACATGAAGGGGTTCGTATCATTTCCATCAACTGAGACCTTTCCGCCATCGACCTTCGTACGTGTAATCCTTTCGTGTAACGGCTGGCTAATACGGTTCATTGTCATTCCCTTGTTCAGAAAGCATCTGTAACCCTAATTAGTTACCCGTTCACAACAGGTAGCTTTTAATTCCTGGTGGCCATTCGAGTTGGGCGAGGGAAAACAGGATCTGAACCCTCTTCATCCCTCTCAACTCCTTCTCATCTCCCTACTGCTGCAGAGCGTGGCGTGGGTCTCCCTCAGGCCATGCGAGGCGGACGAGGGCAAGACGGGTTCAGGCAAGCTGCGCAAGAACGTGAAGCTGTTCGCGCCGCTGCTGCGCCTCGCGAGTCTGGAGGTGGAGGAGCGGGTGCTGGCGCTGGCGGGCAGCAGCCAGGGCGAGTCAGAAACAATCTTGCTGGATGGGTGCGACGTTAAGAGCTTCTCAGAGACCAGCGGGCCGGAGAAACGCTGGTGAGGAGGAGGGTGAGGGAGAGAGAGAGGGGTGGTGAGGGAGAGAGGGGCTGGGAGGGAGAGAGGGTTTGGGAGGGAGAGAGGAGATGAGAAAGGGAATGAGTGGGGAGTGGTAAGAGGGAATGGGTGTGGAGTGGTGCAGAGGGATGGATGGAGAGTCTGGGGGCTGAGGAGCGGGTGCTGGTGCACTGCCCTCTCGCCTTGTCCAATCGAACCCCCTCCCCCCCCCCCCCTCCCCCTCTTCCACCCTACCTCTTTCCTCTCTTCGCCCTCTCCCCCACTCAGGGCTCGCAAGTTCCCCATTCGCATCAGCCACCCGTCCCGCATTCTCTTTCAGAGTGCCAGGGAGTTTTTCATCTACTTCCCCAATGGACGCGTCAATCGAACCCCCTCCCTCCCCCCCCCCTCCCCTCGTCCACCCTACCACTTTCCCCCTTTTCGCCCTCTCCCCCACTCAGGGCTCGCAAGTTCCCCATTCGCATCAGCCACCCGTCCCGCGTTCTCTTTCAAAACGCCAGGGAGTTTTTCATCTACTTCCCCAATGGCCGTGTGAAGCAAGCTTGGTGCCGAGCCTTGCGTGCCGCAGCCTTCCCCGAATCAGAAGACACCCTCTGGCAGGTTCAAGTCTCCCAAGCCTACGCTGTCTACCTCGGGAAGATCCGAGCCTCGCGCCCGGACCTCTGGTTGAATGTGGAGGCTACGGAACTGGAGGGTGGGGGGGAGGATGCGAGGGGGGAGGGGGAGGGCGGTGGGAAGACTGGGCGGTGGGGGGAGGGGAGGATGGGGCAGAGGAAGTGGCTGAGAAAGATACGGACAAAGCAGGGAGGGGGAATTGGGGCCAGGAGCGGCAGTGGAGGTGTAGGCGCGTGGGGGGGAGGAGGAGGCGGGGTAGGGGCAGGAGCAGGGGGAGGGGGGGGAGCAGGGACGGTAACTGGGGAGGATTCGAGTGGGGAGGGGGGTATATGGGGAAGCTTTAGCATGAGCTCTTGGAGCAGTGGCAGTGCCAGCGGGGGAGGTAGCGGCTGGGGCGTACGCAGTGGCAGCTTCGGCACTGCAGGCTCGGAGGTGTCGTTGCTTCGGCCGCCGAACCTAAAGGCGCTGTTCAGGAAGGAGCAGTCTATGCTGCAGCAGCCGATGCAGGGTCAGAGAGCGATGCTGCCCCTGCCTGCTCCTCCGGTGGTTTCTTCTGGTTCCATGCATGCAGCAGTAGCACAGTTACAGCATCAACAACAGCAGCAGCAGCAGCAGCAGCAGCAGCAACATCAACACCAGCAGCAGCACCAGCATCACCAGCAGCAGCAGCAGCAGCAGCAGCAGCATAACCAGCAGCATCAGCAGCATCACCAGCAGCATCACCAGCAGCATCAGCAGCATCACCAGCAGCATCAGCAGCAGCATCAGCAGCATCGGGACGTCTCTCCTCTGCCAGCCATCCCCTCTGGTCGCACGCTCCCACAGTCCCTATCTACAGAGTCAGATGCGGCTACTCCCACAGGCGGTGGCTTTGGTGGAGCAAGCAGCATCGGGGGCAGCAACAGCATTGGTAGCAGCGGTGGCGGCGTTGCTGCTGCTGCTGCGGCGGCGGCGGCGGCGGCTACTGCTTCGACTGCCGCTAGTGGTGCGGGAGGGGGATGGGAGGACGGTCCTGGAGGGGAGGAGAGTTCTCTGTGGGCCTTCAAGCGCAGCCACACGGATACATCTGTGCGTCACCGACCGAGAATCCTCAACAGTGAAGGGAACACCACTGATACCACCTTGACCTCTGCCTCCTCTGAAATCAACTCCTGTGGGATCATTCACTCTGTGGCTGGATCGTCTGGGGTGAACCAAACGGGAACCAACTTGTCCGGATTTAACCTGCCCGGATTCAACCTGTCGGGAGTCAATTTGACTGGGGTCAACTTGAGTGGAGTCAACTTGACGGGAGTCAACTCGTCTGGAGTGAGGAAGAGGGGGCATGGGGAGCGATCACAGCTGGAAGGAGTGGCAGAGGGGGCTGTCACTGTCCCACCATTTGACAGCCCGTTCCCCTCTTCACTGTCAGATTCTTCAACAGCAGCAGGAGCCACAGGAGCAGCAGCAGCAGCAGCAAGAGCAGTGGCAGCAGAAAGAGAGGAGGGTCCAGAGGAGAGCGGGCCGGTGGCGTTTAGTGGGCCTGTGACTCAGGCAGAGGCTGCAGCAGCCGTCGCAGCTATTGAAATGGCCCACAGGGCAACCATGCACCATGGCGCGTATCGGCAGGTGGACGGGCAGGTGGGCGAGTTTAGTGGCATTGGCATTGCGTCAGGTCCTAATGGTATACCATACCCTAGTGACCTGAGTGTCATACTTTCTGGCGAGCCCACTTGCCCTCCCGCTGCTCCTCTTGGCAGCGCTGCTGCTTCAGATGACGCTGTTGCCACTGATGCTACCTCTGCGGCTGCCGCTGCAGCTGCGGGTGCGGCTGCTGGTGCAGGTGCTACTGCTGGTGCAAGTGGTCCTGGTAATCCTGGTGAGAGTGGTGGTGGTGGTGGTGGTGGCGGTGGTGGTGGGGGTGTGGGTGGAAGCGGCAGTGGGGAGCCAGAGGGGGCGGTGCAGTGGGCGAATGCGCTGCTGTGCAGACTCTACTTTGACCTTTCTCAGGAGGACGCGCTCAGCAAGAAGCTCCAGGCCAAGTTCTCGGTACGTTAACGTGCAGGCAGAGTTCTAGTCTAGATACATGCCAGCCAAGATCTAGGTCCGCGCCAGCCAAGATCTAGGTCCGCGCCAGCCAAGATCTAGGTTCGTGCTACCAAAGGTTTAGGTAAGTGCCGGCTTAGATTCAGGGCACGTGGAATCCAGATTCAGGATCGTTGAAGTTCTATCTTAGTCCTTCTTCCCCCTCTCACCCATGTCTCCTGCACCAACGACTCTTTGCCTCCTATCCCTCTCCCCTTGAGACTCAGGCACCTTAAAAGAGACTGAATGAGACCTTATTTTCTGCCCCCTCCCGCGTACTCCCCTCCCCCTTGTCTTCAGGAAAAGCTATCGCTAGTCCTAACGCCATCCATCATGGGTCCCATCTCCTGCACCAAGCTGTCTGTCCTGCATCTCAGAGCCTCATATTCACCATGTCCCCCTCCCCCGTGTCTCCAGGAGAAGCTGTCACTAGTCATCACACCGTCCATCATGGGTCCCATCTCCTGCACCAAGCTGTCGCTCGGCCCCATCCCTCCTCTCATTCGCTCCATGCGCACAGTCAACCTCGCCATGCCAGGTAAACATGCGTTGCCTTGATTGTGCTGCATGCTATCTCCTGCACCAACATGCTACTCGGCCCCAATCCATCCCTCCTCTCATTCGCTCCATGCGCACAGTCAACCTCGCCATGCCAGGTAAACATGCGTTGCCTTGATTGTGCTGCATGCTATCTTCTGCACCAACATGCTACTCGGCCCCAATCCATCCCTCCTCTCATTCGCTCCATGCGCACAGTCAACCTCGCCATGCCAGGTAAACATGCGTTGCCTTGATTGTGCTGCATGCTATCTTCTGCACCAACATGCTACTCGGCCCCAATCCATCCCTCCTCTCATTCGCTCCATGCGCACAGTCAACCTCGCCATGCCAGGTGCGCACGCATTGCCCTTTCCTCCATCCCTCGCTCGCTCTCCTCTATCCCCCTTTCCCCCCCACTCATTCTTCCCCATCCCCCTCCTCCTTCATTTTTTCCCATCCCCGTCCTCATTAGCTCAACCTCCCCCATCCCCCTCCTTAGCTCATTCTCCCCTACACCCCTCCTCATTCTCCTACGAGTGTGAGTCTATTCACCTTAAATATTTTCTCCCTTCTTTGTTTTCTACCAATGCTTGCATCTCGTTTCCCCACCAGGGGACGACTTGGCTCTAGTTTTGCATCTGGAGTACAAGGGAGCAGCCAGCATGACCCTTCCTTTGATGCTCCCCACACCTTGTTCCCTCATTCGTGACCCTGCGTTCTACCGTTGTTCCCTTTCCTCCCCACCGGGGGGCGACTTGGCTTTAGACATGGATCTGGAGTTCAAGGGAGCAGCCACTATGACGATAGAGACCAGCATTGGCAAGCGAGAGACGCGGTTCCTCATGAGCATTGTTGCCCCATGACCCGCTTCTGACCTTGCATCTCTCGTCCCCTCCCTACCAGGGAGCGACCTTGCACTGGATGTCGATCTGGAGTTCAAGGGAGCAGCTGCTATGAGCCCGTCTTTCATGTGCCTCATGCCGTTTTCCCTCGTTCCTTTGTTTCCCACCCTTGCATCTCTCGTCCCCTCCCTACCAGGGGGCGACCTTGCATTGGATGTGGATCTGGAGTTCAAGGGAGCAGCCACCATGACGATAGAGACCAGCATTGACATGCGAGAAACGCAGTTCCTCAAAATGTGGGAAGAGCGAGACCTTTCCCGGGCAGAAAAAGAGTCTGAGAGGAGGGCGGAGTATTCTGGGCAGGTGGAAAACACACCGTTGACTGCAGGCTCGGAACCGGCCCTTTCTGACGGTTCGGCAGCTGCCGGGGGAGGCTCGGATGGAGTAGGCTCGGCCGGACCTGGAGCCGGACCTGAGCGGCTGGTTCGGCGAGGATCGGGCATGGGAGAGGCACTGATGAGTGAGGAGACTGCTGCTGCTCTAGTGGGGGATATGGAGGTGGCTGAGGATGTGACTGTAGAGGGCGCTGCCACAGCCCCTGCTACCCCTGCCAAGAGCACGCCATCCAAGGCAGGCAGGAAAAGGAATCTCATTCGAGGCGTTCGGGGCATGGTCAGCAACATGGCCAACAGCCTCTCCCAGGTGAGCCGTTTTTCTTTATCAGCTGAGCCTCTTCCCTGTTATTTGAGCTCCCAAAGTGCTTGGATACTCATGCACTCTTTGCATTCAAGGGGTGCGAGGCATGGTCAGCAACATGGCCAACAGCCTCTCCCAGGTGAGCCTCTCCCACGTAACTTTTCAATGCTCACTCACTCTTTGCGTTCGAGGGGTGCAGGGCATGGTAATGGGCAATAGCCTCCTGAAGGTGAGTCCTTTCTTTTCCTTATCAAGCGAGACCTACCTTTTCTTATCAGGTAGACCTCCCTCAGGTGAGCCTCCCAACAATCAGGTCCTCTTCACTCTCTCCTTTAAGTTTCAGCATCACATCCGTTAAAGAAACAGTGTTTTGGATACCCTTCCCCTTGTTCTTCCCCCTCTTCTCTCCTTCGCCCAACCAGGTCCCCCTCACTCTCTCCTTCAACATCACATCTGTTAACGGAATGCTGCGCATCCGGGTGCCTTCCCCTCACACACACGGCCTCCCCCCATTCTTTTCCCTTACTCCTTTCTTCCTCACCCCTCCAACCAGGTTCCTCTCAAGATCTCCTTCAACATCACATCCGTTAAAGGAACACTGAGAATCAGGGTACCCGCCCCACCCTCCGACCGCCTCTGGATGTCGTTCGTTGAGATGCCCGAGATCGAGATGCAATCCATGCCGTCCATTGGCGACCTCAAGCTCAAGCGCTACCCCATGGCCACTCTCCTGATTGAAAAGCTCAAGGTGAGTTCCTGGCCTGGTGATTCCCAGTGCAGTTTGTTTTTGTTACGGTACGTAGTAGCATGTGGGTTGGTTGGGTGGGTGGGTGGGTGGGTGGGTGGGTGGAGAGTGGGTTGCGTGGTAAGTCTCAGGGCAGTTTGTTTTTTCTACACTTTGTAGCATGTGGGTGTTTAAACCCTAGCAATCACCCTCTCAACCTCAATCCTCAAACTAGAAACGCCCATCGTTTTTTGCTTTTCGTCCTTCCGTCCTCCCCCTCCTCTCCCCATATCAGGCACTGATCAAGCGGTCACTCACTGGTGCAGCCCAGCTGTGTGGACGCCAAGCTCCGCGTCATGCTCTCACACCCCCACGACTGGTTTCCCCTAGTTTGAACCCAAGAGGCATAACATTCCCATTCCCCGTTTCCTCCCCCCCTCTCTTCCGCCCCAAACCGTGATCAGGCACTGATCAAGCGTTCTCTGGTGCAACGCAGCTGTGTGGACGCCAAACTCCGCTTCATGCTCTCAGACCCCCACGACTGGTGACACCTACATGCTGCCTAGAAACCCTAAATTACACCACCTCGTCTCCCCCCATCACACCCCCATTCCCATCAGGCCCTGATCAAGCGCTCTCTGGTGCAACGCAGCTGTGTGGACGCCAAGCTCCCCTTCATGCTCTCCCACCCCCACGACTGGTTACACCTACAAGTTTGTCTTGGTTTCATGCCCGTAACTCAAAACGTTTCCGCCCCCCTCCTTCAAACCCCCATCAGGCATTGATCAAGCGCTCTCTGGTGCAGCCCAGCTGTGTGGACGCCAAGCTGCGCTTCATGCTCTCAGACCCGCACGACTGGTTACCGCGTCAACCCTGCATGTTACCCTGGCGCCCCCCTGTTGACGCCTCTGTCAACCCTCCTCCCTCCACCCTCCCCGCTTCCTCCTCCTCGTTCTTCACTCCCTCGTCGTCCCAAACCTCTCTCTCCGGGCTGGCCCAAGCCTCCAACGCCGGCTCGGACAGCCGAGGCTCGGATGTCCGAGGCTATACGGTAAAAGACTCGGGAAGAGGTTTGGACGGGGAAGGGAGGGATGGGGAAGGCCTGGGTGCAAGTATTGGAGATTCTGGTGGAATTACCAGCACCAGTGGCGGTAGTGGTGTAGGTGGTGCTGCTGGTGGTGGTGCTGCTGGTGGGTTGGCTGGGAGTGCAAAGCTAGGTCGGGACAGCACGAGAGGGTCTGTGAGGGGGCTGGTGGGTGGGATAATGACGAGAAGGCAAGGGGCAGCAGTCACAAGCAGCCCTGTGCTCGATCTAGTCACAAGGCGGACCGGCAGCCACCAGAGTCTCAGCTCTGGCGCCTCTGCTGCTGCTGCTGCTGCTTCTGGGGCTCCTAGATCGCCAATGAGGGGTGCGGTAGGTGCTGCTGCTGCTGGTACTGCTGCTGCTGGGCTGGGAGGTAGGCAGGGAGGAGCAGGAGGTGCTGGGGAAGTGGGAGGAGGAGCGGGACCAGCAGCAGGAGGAGGAGGGGGAGCAGCAGCAGCACTAGTGTCGGGAGGAGGAAGCAGCAACAGTGACTCGGCTCAACTTGCCTCCAGCTCTCCCCTTGCGGCTCTGGTCCCTTTCAATCCTAACGTGTGCCCCTCTTCTCCTCTTAGAAGACTCCCGCCTTTCTATCTTGGCTCGAAGGAACATGAGCTTCAGCAGCAGCAGCAGCAGCAGCAGCAGCAGCAGCAGCAGCAGCAGCAGCAGCAGCAGCAGCAGCAGCAGCAGCAGCAGCAGCAGCAGCAGCAGCAGCAGCAGCAGCAGCAGCAGCAGCAGCAGGACGTCAGCGTCCCTTCCCCCTCCTTCTCTGTCTCCTCACCCCCAGTTCCTCCACCCCCTTCCTCCTCCACAACCTTCTCACCGCTCTCCACTCCTGCTCTTCCCTCTTCCACCTCAACAGCTCGCCACCTCCTCTCAGCAGCCAAGTCACACTTGAAAAGCGCAGCATATGCAATCAAACCCTCGTCTTCCACTCCTTCCTCTTCCTTTACCTCTGCAGCCTTCCTTTCCTCTTCAGGCGAGTTTGGTAAAGCCAGTGCAGCCAGTGAAGGTTACACTGCTATCGCCACTGCCGCTGCTTCTGCTGTCGGAAATTCTGCTGCTGAGAGTACGGGAACAGCGATAATGGCAGCAGCAGCAACGATGTTGGGCGGTGCTGCTGCCACTGCTGCTGCTGGCGATGCTGCCGTTGGTTCAGTTGCTGGTGGCGCTGCTGCTGCTGCTACCTCCGTAGGTTCGGCTGTTATTGGCACTTCTGCTGGTGCTTCTGCTGGTGCTGCTGGCATGGCCGCAGGTTCGGAGGCAGGCTCGGCAGAGGTACCTGTTCATCAAACTGCCACGTCACCACCGGTGCTCCGTCTCCCAACCTCCAGCTCTTCACCTAACATTGCTGAGGCACAGCCACAGCTCCAACCTGCGCCCGTCTCGTCCTCATTATTGTCCGATCCGCTATTGTTCGACAAGCAGCAGGGAATCAACGAATCTAAGGGCAACGAAAGCGCAGGTTCCCGCGCGGCCGCCATTGCTGGTATGAGTGGCGGTGGTGGCAGCGCAGGTGGTGGGAGTGGTGTGGTGGGGCTGGGTGGGGGCTTGGGGGTGGGGCGAATGAGAGCAAGCATGGCTGGAGAGCTGTTTGAGGGTCTGAGGCTGTCTAAGGCATCACGCATGGCTGCACGGGAGAGGAGGAGGGCTGGAAGGGGCCGGGGAGGAGGAGGACGGGGAGGAGGGGTTGGTGGTAGTGCGGATGTGGATGGGGAGGTAGGTTCAGCGGACGAGGGTTCGTCGCAGCAGCAGCCAGTGCGAGGGTTTGAGGCGTTTAAGCAGAGTCTGGGGGTGCGTGGGAGTGAATGGTTGGATAGGGGGAGGGAGAAGGATAAGGATCGGGAGAGATGGGCCACGGCAGCGATTGCGAGGGTGGCTGCAATGAGGAAGAAAGCAAGGGGGAGAGCGAGGGGGAGCTGGGATGGGTCGGAGTTTGGGGGTATGGGGGATGGGGAAGATGCAGGGCTGGATGGTTTGGACGGTTTGGATGGGTTGGATGCGGTGGATGGGCTTGATCGTGATGCCTCTGCTGCTGGTGGTGGTGGTTCTGGGGTACCAGGGTCGACGAGGGAAGATGCTAGCTTTGGTCTGTTCTCTGGGAGATCTGCTCTGATGATGGTGGGAGGGGGATTGGGAGGAGGAGCGGGAGGAGGGGTGGGGGGATTCAGGGGTGTTGCTGGGGGGGCGGCGAGTGGAGGTCTGGTTGGGGGACTGAGGAGAATGGGAAGGAGCAAGAGTGGGAAGGGCAGGGAAGAGGAGGGCACAGGAACAAGCCAGGGAGCGGGTTCGAGGGAGGAACAGGAGGGGGTGGGGGCGGAGGGGGAGGAAGGGGAGGAAGGGGAGGAAGTGTCAGAAGGCTGGGCTGATGCGAGAAGCTTCACGGTGCCGATAGTGAGAGCGAAGAGCTGGGAAGTGGGGAATTCGGAGGTGATGCGGACGCAGCTGTCGTCTCGCAGTGTTCGAGGCGAGGCAGGGCTGGTAGTGTTGGATGGGGACGGTGTGGGATCGACGGCTAGAAATGATTCGGAACGAACGGTTTCTTCTGGTACAATCACAACAGCTGAACACACAGCATCACCAAGCGTTACTGCCAGCACTGCAGGAAATGCTGCTTTTGGGGGTGTCATCTCAGTAGTAGCGACCAGTGGGGATAGGCGAGGGAATGGGGGAGCAGCAGATGCGACGGCGGCAGCTGTAGTGGTTCGGCAGCAAGAAGGCTCCGGGTCTGGTGGCGAGGGTGGGGAGAGTGGGGAGGAGAGAGAGGGCAAGTGGGGGGATAGGATGGCTAGGGCGAAGGAGTTTGTGGGAAGGATAGGGAATAGGGAGGCGAGGGAGAGGCTTGAGGATAAGGCTAAGAAGGTGTTGGGATTCTTGCACCGAGGGGAGAAAGCGGAGCAGTGAAAAGAGGGATGAGTGCATGTGCCGTCGCAGATGTATGTGATGTGTAACCGGAAAATCAATATGATTTTGTATGTTACCTAGTTTCAAGGAACTGTTTGATTTCTGTTTTCTTCAAAGGGTGTTTTCCTGTGTTTGATATTAATTGGTCAGCTGTTGACCAGGAGCTGCTTCGCCGACGGTGCTGGGGTCTACGAACTTCGCGAATGATCGGCTGTTTCCCGCGACTGCCCTCCCGCTGCGAAAGTCCGGTCTTCTGTTCCTCAGTGGCGACGAACCGCATTTGTGTCAGCACTTCGCCAACATTCGAATATTTCCATCACGACACGCGATGCCTGGGCCACTTCACGCGGTCCTGTCCCCTCCGCCCCGCAGTCACACACACCCTTTGGTCAGGAAGGCAGCTTATGATCCATCCGATCGTATCAACAACCCATCTAGACCGTCCGTTTGTTCGTTTCCAGTCCGTCGACTGAAATTGCTCGGATCGCATCGCAGGCACTGGCAGGCAATCTCGAAGCACCTCGATTATTTCGCCGTGCCTTGGAAATTGCGGTTGCGAGCGTCGGTCTGTGCAGGGTTGAGTATGCTGGTCGCGTGTTTCTCAGCGAACCCACACTGTTGTTGCTAGTTTCTCCCAACCCACACGTTGCTCACAATCATATGCGCAACTTACAATTGTCTCGTCACGTCGATCACAATTATATGCGCTAGTTTGTTACACACGCGGCTGTTGCTAGCCAACGTAGCGTAGCCTGTGGTCTAGCCGTGATCGGGTGATATAAGGTCGCATCTGTGCTACGCTAATCACCTTCGTACTTACAAATAAGCAAGGCGTAGCTGTACGTTTTACTTACCGCGCCCCGAACGCCAATATCTCTTTGGCATCGACTAATTCTCTGAGAGGCACTACGTTTCGCCTTGGGCGTTTTCGTTACTCTAAGCTTAGTAAATTCTATTATTCTTTCCTACTTCGAGCCTTCACGACCCCAACAAGAGCTGTTATTCGTTACAAACTCGATATTGGCAGACTTAACGTTGTATGTACCGAATCGTCGGCGTTAGTCGGTCGAGAAGGCAAAACGACGAGATGCTGGTAAGACTACTAGGCACCGATGACTATTATAAGGTACTGGAGTGGTTCGAGTGTTACTCTGGTTTTTTTCTATCAGTCAGATTGACTTTCTTCGTGTGCAAGTGAGGTGGGAATCTGAATAAATGCGGTAATTAAATTGAATGTATTTGACTACAGGATGGTTCCTTGTACTTGTCTGCAACATATGCGGGTGAAGTATGCACTTTAACTACAATAACGTTGCGATCGGTATTACATGCGAAAGGCTCTTTACGATCTCCTTGCACACTTCTGTAAGCCGCTTCTGGCGACAGAATGCGAGTGGTTCTGGCCTTTCAAGCATGAAAATGCTTAAAATGTGCAACGTGCTGATTGTGACGTAGTTTCTCAAGCACGAAGAAAACCCACGACCAACGTTTTTTTCCGTGTGTACAGTTGCGCGCATAGTCGTTGAATTCCTTTCTGTTTATTTTATCCACACGCGGTAAGAAAAACTGTCGCAAAAAATCAGGAAAACGTGATCCACACCCTCATTTGTTAGCGAATCCAGAGTTTCTAAAAAAAAACGATAGTACATGAACCACACCCTTGGGAGCTCCGCCGACATTCTCAAGGTGCAGGTTGAGAGGCAGTCTTACGCTCCCTCTCATTCTCTTCCGCTCTCTTTCACTCTCTTCCGCTGCTTCCTCCAACGTTTCCCCCCTTCCTCACCCACCCCTTTCCCCTCATCCCCTCCCGATCCTCCTCCTTGCGTGTTTCCGCCGCCTTCCGTTTTGCGTGACTTAATTCCCGACAGTTCCGAGCGGCGAAGACGGTGGTATGCTGCACTCTCGGGCCCATCGTATGGGGATTGCTGTCTCTGCTCTTCCTGCTCCTTATCGCCCTTGGAATCACGGCACTTGTGCTCTACTTCGTGTACAAACCGCAGGTTCGTCGCCTGATATTTTCAGCTTCAACTCTTACTTCTTTTTCCATACGCTTGTGACTGGTGCTTTGATTGCCCTACTGTATGTTTGTCTCTGCCTCCCTTCCCTTTCTTATTGCTTACCGAAATGGTATTTCGTTTCTTTTTGACTCCCTCTCTCCATCCTTCCAGCTACCTGAGTGCGACGTACAGAACGTAACAGTAAACAGACTGAACGTCACTCGCCTGACTTCGTTTCCCTTCAACGAAACGGCCTACGCAGCTCTAGCCACCTTGAGCGCCGCCGACAGAGCAGCCGCATTGGGCGTCCCAGGCAACTACAGCGCCAAATCAACTGACCCATCCTCGCCATCAGCATCTCCGAAATTAGCATCTCCACTAGATGCTCTCGGGAATGCCACCGTGCCGCCAAGGCTCGGTCTGAATGCTGACGTGGGATTCACGCTGGAGACGCGGAATCCGAACAAGGTCGCCATTGATTATAAATACGTGAATGTGTCGATTATTTACAGAGGCGTCACTGTGGGAAACTCGTCGGTAAGTCCTATGCCATGCTCTTTCTTTCTCCGGAACTCCCAAACTTTCGTCGCAACGCGTCTGCCAGTTTCTTGCTTCTTCAAAGAGCTAGTTGTTTCAACCATTGTCTCTCTGTTGACTCCCTATACGGGCATTGCCTTCGTCAAGAGATAGTTGTTTTAACCTTACAAAACATTCCTTGCCTACGTCTGCTTCTTAATCACTTCTTAGTCTCTCGGTTGACCCCCCATACGGGCATTCGGGGTCTTTCGGCTTCGTATACTTTTGGATTTTATACTAGCTCGCAACGCTCTTTTCGGATTGTCCCCCGGCTGCTGCAGATTCCGCCATTCACGCAGCAGGCGCAGACCAACACGAGTGTGCCAGCAGAGCTCCTAGTACTAGACTTCCCGCTCGATATAGTCACGGGGCCTGTCATGCTGGCAGATTTGAACGCTGGAAACGTTCCTCTACAGGTACTGCTCCTCTACATGCTGTGTTCCTCTACAGGTACTGCTCCTCTACATGTTGTGTTCCTTGCACACAATCGTCCTCTAAAGTTCCTTTCAGGTAGTTTTCCTCATTGCATCCTTTGTGGCTTCCCCTTGTTTTGAGTCAGACTCGAAAGAATCATCTGCTCTTTTGCCTTCCTCTTGTGAGCAAGAGCCCTATTTTTTAGAATTCTCAGGAGCCTCTGCGTCCTATTATCCCCATGTCACAATCGCTGCTTTAACTTGAAAAGAAGGCTCGCAATACAATCGAGACGCTACAGTTGCGTCTCACAGATCTGTTTTCAGTTATCAGCACTACAGCACTTGAGATGCCTCCTATCCCCCTCTGCTCCCCTGTGCCCCTGGAACAGTTGCTGCTTCAACTAGGGGCAAGGATCAACATTTTAGGGGTGGCATCTCCGTTTGCTCTGGTGAGTGCGCATGCCCCTTCCCCTTCTCTTCATTGTATTCTAGGTGAGTTGCATCCCTGGCCCTTCCATACCCCTCCCCCCTTACACCGTGTATACACAGCCTCCAATTTCTCTGAAAACCCCTCCTTTTACTATGGCGCCGCTTTTACTCATTACTCTTGATCCCTCCGCGTGTTCCCTCCTGCGCCGTTGTGCACCAGGTCGGTTTGTTGTGCGATGTCACAGCTGATCCAATAACGCGGACAGTGAAAAGCACAAGCTGCTCGTTACAAAACGTAGGGTTCGCATGAGTTACTGGGAAAGAGCTGCTCATACGGTACTCATGGACAATAGAATGTTATATTTTGATGTGAAATGTACCGTCATCGCCCGGATATAAGACATATATGTCTTATCTCGTACACGGGCAAAAATGCTTGAGTTATCTTGTAAACGGGATGGTTTAGGGTGTCTTATAATTCTTATAAATGGAAAAATTTTGAAGTTGACTGTAACACTTGCAAAGTGTGTAGAAAACACCCAGGGACCAGATTCATTGAAACAGGCCGACCTCGGTGGTGATGCAGCAAAGCTGCCACCGTTGGCAAGATTCCTCTGTGCTGGCAGCATCTAATGATGCTGCCAGCGTCGTTTTGCTGCCAGCAGCGCATGGCAGCTTCCAGAACGCTGCTGACAGCACGTTGGCAGCGTCAGGCTGTCCTGTATGAGGAGATGCCTCGTAGACGAGCGGCTCGGCACCTGTGGATGGGGCACTCTGGCTGGTGGGGGTAGTCGGGCTTTCACTTCATTTGGTGCTCATGGAGGTTGAATTCTCACCTCAACCTTGCTCTCGGCAGGCTCTCTAACCATGCGCAGCAAGGTACCCCTAGGCAAGTCCTCACCTCGTCCTCACGTGCAGGTGAATAACTACGGGCGAATTAACTCGCCCGGCGATGACATCCGCGTAGCCATGGCGAAGAACGCGAGCAAGGCGGGAAGTCCTACCGCCGCCTCCGGTGCGAGCTGTGACGGGGAAGACGGAGACGAAGCACACGGCGACGACGCCGAGGAGGATTGGCCGGAGAACGGCCACGATGACAGCGCTTCGGGCGACGAATTTGGTACTGCCGACATCGAGGAGGACGAATGGTGGAATGAGCCGGTCGGGAGCGACGACGAGGTGGAAGAGTGGCGGGCTGGTGATTCTGACAACGACGGAGGTGAAGATGCTGGCGGTGACAACGCGGAGGCACAGGAAGTGGCGGTGGATGCGAATGAGGCTGCCGACGAGGCGGCGGCGGAACTCGAGACAGAGGCGCCTGCGGATGCGGACGCGGTGGCGGAGGCGAACAAGGTGGCTGCGGATGCCGTCTTATTTGAGGGTGAGGGCGACGACGACGACCCGTGGAGCCTTGGGACAGACGACGACGTTCCGCTACTGAAGCGGAGGCTGCGCCATCGCCTACAGTCCACGACGAAGCGCGCCCGCGTGGTGCTCTGTGACGACGACAGTCCCGGGGAGGAGCGTCGCCCCCTACTCACCGCTGCGGAGAAGGGAAATGCAAAGGTCGTGGAAGCCCCTGCTAAGTCCCCTGCTAAGGCCCCTGCAAAGGCCCCTGCTCGTGGCCGCACAAGCAACAAGAAGCGCAAGGACGACGGAGACCCTGGATCCAGCAAGGGTGCGGCAAAGAAAAAGGCGAAGAAGGCGCCGAATCCTGACGACATCATCGTCAACGAGGCGTTGGGCAGCGACGATGAGTACGCGGCGGCGGCGGGCCCGATTCCCACGTTCCCTGAGAAGGAGGCGCCGAAGGACCTCACCCTCCATAATCCCAACACCCGCCCACCTTCCCCTCGCAGCAAAGACACTACGAAGAAGCGCCGCGGCTGGACCGTGCGTGAGAAGGTTAAGTGGGCGCGCCGCTATCAGGAGCTCGGCTCCTTGAAGAAGACTAGCTTGGAGTCAACCGCGAGCGTCGCCTGCATCAGACGCTGGTGCGCGGAGGCGGCTGCGGGCATCTACAAGGGCGCGGCTAACTGCCGCAAGCGGATGCACGGGGGGGGCCGCCACGCACACTACCCCGACATGGAGGCAGCGTTGTACCGCTACATCTGCCTTCAGCGCGCTAACGGGGTGGCCATCTCGGTGAAGGACACCCAAAAGTGGAGCCGCGAGTGGATGAAGAAGCATTACCCCGGCAAGAACTGGAACGCGAGCTCTTACTGGAGCCAGCGTTTCCGTGACCGCTGGAACCTGGTGATGCGGGTGAAGACGAAGGTCGGACAACGTCTGTCGGCAGGTGCGTGGATAAAGAGTTCGTGCCGCGCACGGCCCATTGTATGCATGTCTTACCTTGCTCGTTGTCTAACCGTCCCTCGCTTCTGTTCCTGTCCCGTTTGCAGAGTGCGCGAAGGACTGCGAGTCCTTCTGGAAGTTCGTGCGCATCAACAGGGCGCGGCACAACATCGACCTGGCCCGTATCATCAACGCGGACCAGACGCCACTGTTCGTGGAGATGCCGGCCGAGAGGACGATCGAGCACCGTGGCGCGCGCTCGGTCCCAATCCGCACTGCAGGCTACCAGAAGACGCGCTTGACGGTGATGCTCGCGTGCACTGCATCCGGGGAGAAGCTGCGGCCGTGGGTGTGGTTCAAGATGAAGAACGTCCCCAACTGTGAGATTCCGGACGGTAAGCGCCATGACTTCAACCTTGCCCCTGCCTCATGAGCGTGCCCCACTGTGCTGATGTCCGTCTGTCCCTTGTGTGCCTGGCAGGAATCGTGGTCCAAGCACAGGACAACGGGTGGATGGACGAGAGCGCTGTGCAGACCTGGCTGTCCAAGGAGGTGCTTCCCCATCTGAACCCCCAGCGCGGCAAGAGCGCGAGGCGTGCGATGCTGGTGTTGGACTCCTACCGCGGCCACATCACCCAGACCATGCTTCAGTCGTACCGCACGCACAGCATCACCCCTGCAGTCACTCCAGCGGGTTGTACGAGCCAGGTTCAACCCCTGGACGTCTCCATCAACCGGTGCTTCAAGGCTGCCGTGCGAGCGCGCTACGCCAGGTGGTTCATGCGTGAAGGGATTCACCTGAAGACGAAGAAGGGTGAGTTGGCTGTTCATTTTAAATTCCTGCTCTGTTTCGTGTCCTTATCGTTAACATCTCGCTGCCGTGTCCTCTGTCCCACCCGCAGGGAACCTGCGGAGGCCTCCGCACCCCGTGGTGCTGCAGTGGATCGCGGAGGCTTGGGATCAAGTCCCCAGGCAGATCATCATCGACGCGTTCCGCCACTGTGGGATCTCCAGCAAGCTGGACGGAACGGAGAACCACCTGGTGATGTCTCACATGCGCGCCAGGAGCACCACCGATGTCTCCGAGGACATGTCCCTCGGGGGGACCACAGGCGACAACACGCGCCTGCTTCGGAAGGCTCCAGAGGAGGAGGAGGAGGAGGAGGAGGAGGAGGAGGAGGAGGAAGAGGCGGAGGAGGAGGAGGAGGAGGAGGAGGAGGAGGAGGAGGAGGAGGAGGAGGAGGAGGAGGAGGAGGAGGAGGAGGAGGAGGAGGAGGAGGAGGAGGCGATGCAGGCGGAGGACGTGCGGGAGGTGGCCGTGGCAACTGGCCTGGAGGTGCTGTACCAGGAGACCCCCAACTACCGCCGAGCGGCGGCCGAGGCTGACCGCATGATCGAGCCAAGGGAGACGGCTAGGCATGCCTGGCGAGTGCCAGACCTGGGCGTAGAGCCTGTTGCTAGTGCTGCAGAGGAGGCGGTTACTGAGGGGGGTTAGGTAGAAGTAGGGATTCATGAATGTATGGATGTACCCCCCTAAAGTAGTGTAGGCTCGTTTAGAAGACACCCCCTGTTTATAAGAAAACCCCTAAACCCCGGTTCTGATTATAAGACATATATGTCTTATCTCGTACACACAAATAGGTGTCGTATAAAAAGGCTTGCCTGTTTATAAGAGACACCCGTATAGTAGACAACCCCTGTCTACTATTCAACACTGTCTTATATCCGGGCGATGACGGTATGATAATCTAGTACGTTTACTGCATGATAATGTAGTGGCAAAGCATCTGATTATGTGGAGGTTTGTTGCTTGTACCGCATGTTGTGGCCCTAAGAGGCTGGTGTTTGCTTTACAACTTTTATCAGTGATATAACAAGGAAAGAATTGCATACTGTACTCTGCACGAGGCGTTGCATTGGGTAAAGGAAGTGGAAGGGTACCGTATGACACATATCGTATGCAGAGAAATACTGAAGGGAGTTAATTCCATTCAAGATTACGGTAAAAGCACTGCATAGCAATTCAATTATGCAAAAAACGTACACCATTTCTGACTGCGAAGTCCTGCCTAGCCTAACAAATGGCATACCATATCCTAGGAAAGGAAAGTCTACAGCTCACCTAGAATAAATCCCTAACAGCAAGCACACATGCTGCTTCTACTATGATTACATCCATAACTACATGTACCACACACCACAGATGCATACATGCATGCATGCATGCACCAACACTACAGAGACAAGACTGTCGCAGTCTTGACCCTCCCCAAAATCGCCTCCTGCATCATCTCCCCATCATCCTCCGGGTCTCCACCATCCACATCATCATCACCACCACCCTCATCAGCATCCACGTCAGCATGACTAATGTGCTCGTCCACATAATCCATATCAGAATCCCCTGTGTCCTCCGTGTCATCCCATGGCCCCAGTTCCACCCCCTCCTCTCCTTCCTCCTCTTTCCACTCTCCATCCCCACCCATCCCATTCTGCTCTCCCCTCAATTCCTTCACTTCCTCCCCCCCATTCTTCATCCCACCACCCTCCTCACTTCCCAAACCAAACCTATTCCTCCCTCCCTCTCTCCCCTTGATCGCTCCCCCCTTCCAAACCAGAGGAACAGAAGTCCACGTTGGCCCTCCTGCTGCCATCACCCCAAGCCTTCCCGCACCTCTATCCACACCTCCCGCTGAGCCTCCTGCCGAACCGCCCCCCGAGCCTCCTGCCGAGCCTCCGCCCGAACCTGTAAGGTCGCAGCATAGCGCATCCGAAGCTGGAAGGAGGGTACCATCGGAGTTTTGGAGGTATCCCCCGAAGAGGAAGATTCGATTCTTGAGAATGGTGTGCTCGAAGTGAATGCGCGGCAGCAGAGGGTGGAGAGGGAAGAGAGAAGCAGGAGCAGGCGGAGCAGGCGGAAGAGGTGGGATGCGAGGACGCTGGTGCTGCTGCTGCTGCTGCTGCTGCTGCTGCTGCTGTTGCAGTCGGTGCTGCTGCTGCTGCTGGTGGTGCCTCAGCTGCTGCTGGTTCTGGCCTTGTCCCTGGTGCTGAGCTTGCTGTTGCTGCTGCAGGCTTGCCAATCCAAGGTGGTTACGAGTGGGATGTGTGGCATACGTGGGAGGCACCTGCAGCAATAGTTCCACAACCATGCAGCAAACACACAGCAAACAGGGACAACCACACATCAAACACACACAAAACACACAACAAACTCCAGACAGCCATTTCGCAGCCATGCCACAGCCATTCGCAAACATCCCAAATATGTCTGTTGGTTTGGACAAACGAGAGAAGGGATGCGACGGGAAAAAGCAGAGGCAAGTGGGAGAGAGGGAGAACTCCTGCCTTCCTACCTCCTGCCATGCACTCACCTGTAACACCTTCCTGGCTTTGGTAACCGCGTCGTACACGTGCAGACACCCCTCCCTCCTCCAAACCAGGAAGCGAGGCACACACCCCACACCCCACCGCGCTGCTGCATGCTCCAGCAACCACGTCTCGGGGTGCAGACCCATGCCCGGGGGGAGAGAGACCCACGTGTGGGTAGCAGGGTCGTACATGCACACTAGGTAGGGCGAGCGGGCGGAAGAGGGGTTGAGAGTGGTGGTGGTGTTTGGAATGGTGTTGTTGGGGGTCCATACCCCACGAGCAGCAGCAGCAGCAGGAGGAGGAGGAGGAGCAGGAGCAGTGGTAGCAGCTGCACCAGCGGCAGCAGCAGCAAGAGAGGTGTTTCGGTTGGTGAAAGCTGCAGTCACGAAGTTTGCAGCAGCAGCAATAGGTGCCGCATTAGCAGCATCAGCAGCAGCAGCAACAGTGGCAGCATCAGCAGCAGCAACTCTGGCCCCACCCAATTGAAGCGCATCAGCAGCAACATCTGTAACCGAAACCCGAAACTGGTTCCTCCCGAGCAGAAACAGCCTCCCAGCCAGCACCACACCACTGCACTCATAACACGCACTCGGCATTTCCGGAACTCTCTCCCACACATCTGCTTTCAGATCGTACATTTCAACGGTAGAGAGCGGTTCACACGCCCTCCCTCTCTCCCATAGCCGCCCTCCCGCTACAATCACCTTGCCTTTAATCACTCCAAACGCGAACCCCACCCGACCCTGGTTCATAGGCGCGGCACGCACCCAGATGTCTTGGACCGGGCTGTACCTCCAGACCTGCACCTCACGTTCGGCAAGCTCAGGGTTGGGAGAATCTGCTCCAGGTTCGGCAGTATCAGCAGCAGCAGCAGCATTGTCAATTGCAGCAACAGCAGCCGCTGCTGCTGCAGCCATGGCGGTTCGGTCCGGGGCTGCATCCGAGGTTCGGGTCCAGACACGGTGCCGAGCCTTTGTCGAGCCTCGGACGGCAAAGAGGAGGAGTTCCGAGCCTAAGGCTTGGAGGCGGCAGTCCCAAAGTGTGCTTGTGTCGGTAGGGTTGGCGAGTTGGGGCGGGAGGGGAGAGAGAGGGTAGAGAGAGTTGGAGGGCGGGTGAAAACCCACCAAACGAAGACAAGAGGGAGTAAGGGAGTGGGAGGACGCAGCGGATGAAGAGGAGGAGGAGGGGGAGGAAGAGGAGGCCAAGGAATTAGGTAACGATGACGAAGGGAAGGGAGTGGTATGCTCTTTTCCAGCTGCCTCTGTGGTGATACTGCTCCTTGTGCTGGCCATGCTGACAGCCTGTGTTCTTCTTGCTGCTGTGGCAGAGGGAGCAGCTGGGCCACACCCGCTTGTGTGGCACGAGTGGGACGAAAGGGGCGGCTTTTGGACGTTTGATCTCGCTGCTGCTGACGCCTTGTTTGCACCTGCTGCTGATGCCGCTGATTTTGATGCTGCACCTGCTGATGATGCTGCTGATTTTGATGCTGCACCTGCTGCTGATGCTGCTGATTTTGATGCTGCACCTGCTGATGCCGCTGAGAAAACAGCAGATGTGGCTCGTGGGATGGAGGAGGTACTTCGAGGAAGGCGAGACACGGAGGGAGCAGAGGAGGTGGAGGGGTAAGAGGAGGGGGAGGAGGAAGAGGGATTAGAGGAGGAGGAGGAGGAGGGCGGTACTCCAAGGTCGGAGATGGAGAGGGAGGGGAGGGAGAAGCGAGTGTTGAGGGAGAACTGCAGGCTCCTACTTGATGACGGTGTTGACAGAGCTGACACTGATGGCACTGCTGACACTGATGGCACTGATGGCACTGATGGCACTGCTGACACTGATGGCACTGATGGCACTGATGGCACTGATGGCACTGCTGACACTGATCCCTTGCCCTTGCTCAAAGAGAGAGTGGGTTGCAATCCCTTGCCCTTGCCCTTACCCTTTTCCTCCTTGCCCCATCCCCATCCACCCTCTCTCATCAAACCACTCACTCTCTCACTGCTCTCAGTCGCTTGCTTTCCCTTCCCTCCTCGTTCCCCCCTCCTCTCCTCCCCTCCGTTGCTGTTGCTGCTGCTCCTGCCTATGCCAATTCCTCCTCTCTTGTCCCTGCTTCCACTTCTGCTTCTGCTCCTGCCTTCACCATTCTCCTCCCCTCTGCCCTTGCTTTTCCCTATACCGCCCCAATCGCTTCTGCTTATCCCCTCCTCTCCCCTCCTGCTGCTGCCCCCGGTGCTACCACCGCTGCTGCTTCTGACGCAGCTGCCACGGGATTCGCCCACCCTGCTGCTGCCACGTGAATCTGTACTGCTCAACGATTGGCTGCCAGTCACCCTGCTTGCACCAGCAATCGCCCGGCTGCTACTGCTGTCACTCCACCTGCCTGCCCTGCTGATTATTCCGCTGCTTCCCCTACTGCTTCCGCTGCTGTTTCTACTGACAAGGCCACCCATATCGCTGCTGTTCTCTCTCCTCCTACTGCTGCCATAGCTGCCTCTTTCCCTCCTCTCCTCACTCCTCCCTCTGCTCTCTCCGCCCCTCTCCCCTCCATCCACACCCCTCCCCCTCCTCCCCTCCACACTCCCATCACCAGCACCAACCCCCTCGTCCCCATTCCAAGGCACAACCATAAACACCCACTCCTCTAGCCTCTTGCTCCTCTTCCTCAGCTCCCGAACCTCCTCCCCAGCCAAACCTTGCTCCCAGGCTCGGCAAACAGACCGGCCTGAAGCTAGGTTCAGCCATGGAAGTCGGGACAGGATATCCAACCCAACGTCATCGGGCAGGTTCGGAAACAGGCCCGGCACAGCCTCAGGCTCAGGTTCAGGAGAATCCTGTCCCAGGGACTTCTCTCCAGGTTCAACTCCAGGTTCGGGACCAGTTTTGGTTGCAGGTTCGGGTGCAGGTCCAGCACGAAGTTCGGGTTGAGCCTGTGGCTGTTGGCGAACCTCAGCTTCAGGTTCGGTTGTGGGTTCGAAAAGCATCCCTCCATTGCTGGTTTGCTCAGTTGACCCAACCATGGCATCATGCATGGCAAAACCCTCGCCAGGTGGTATACCACCAGCTTGCGTGGCGTCAACAGCACCCATACCACCACCTCCCACACGATCAACTCCCAAGCCGTCCTTGCCCTCATGCTGCTGCTCACTGTTCTGCTGCTGCTCACCACTCTGCATAGCATCATGGCAAACGGTGCTGCATGCTGCTGCATGTCCCCTGCCGTGAACGTGAACCATGCCATGCTGTGCCCCATGCACCCCCATCACATCCTCCTCCCCATGCAGAAACGGCCACAGAACCACAGCAGGCGGGCACTCTCGCGCTCGCGCACACGCCCCCCTCTCTGGTAAATCTGAACCAGACTCAACAGAAGCCTTTTGGGGCGCCTCAAGTACAGACTCAAAAGAAGCAGACTCAATTGCAGCAGACTTTCGAACTTCCCCAAGTTTGATGGAAGGAAGGCTCCCAGCAGCTGCCAGGCACGGCCAGTGTATGGTGCTGCTGGTGCCACCAGCAGCACCGGCAGCAGCGGCAGCACGGACAGCAGCGGCAGCAGGAGCAGCAGCAGCAGCAGCAGAATGGTGCATGCTGTTTTGTCCTGATTGCAAGCCGTTGGAACCTTCACTGCTGCAATCCCCACCGTCAGCAGCACTGCCACTCCCAACAAGACCGTCAATTTCACCATCGTAATTGCTGACATCAGCATCACCACCATCACCACCGCCAGCACCATCACCACAGCCAGCACCATCACCACCGCCAGCACCATCACCACAGCCAGCACCATCACCACCGCCAGCACCATCACCACAGCCAGCACAATCATTACCATCCTGATCACTGTCATCCACGTCAGCATCCGCATCATAGAACAGCGCATCATCATCCTCGTCATCACCATTTTCTGCTGACGCATCATTAGTCTCTGTCACGTCAGCAGCAGCCACGTCATCACCGTACACGTCACTACCCATGCTATAATACCTGCTACTACCAATACTCAATCCTCTGCTCCTCCTGCTCTCGCCTCCTTCCCTCCTCGCCCTACTGCTGCCCCTCCTCCTCCCCCCAGAAAGCACACTACCCTCAGCAATACTGCTGCTACTGGCGCTTTCCCCCATACAAGCAGAAACAGCCTCACGATCACACCCGTTACTATCACCTCCTGCTGCACCCTCATCTGGTCCCTTCCCATCCGTTACAGGCACAACCCTCCTCGCCCTCCTCCTGCCACCCTGGCCACACACACCCAGCAATCGCACCCTCCTTATAATCCCACCTCGCTGCTTCTCACAACCATCACCATCAAACCCCTCCTTGCCCTTACCCTTGCCTCTCTCGTTGCCTTTGCCCCGACTCCTATCACCAACCCCATCTGTACTACTATCTGGGGTGTTTTGCTCGTTTACCCTCGGGGAAACTTCACAATAAGCATCACGGGACCTCCTCCCGCTGTCGTGATTGCCTTTCCCTGCCACAGCAGCAAGCGGTCTCCTGCTTCTGCTGCCGCCCGCTCTCTTGCTGCACAGCCAGCAATAAGGATCGCTGGGAGAGGTTGCTGCTGCTGTTGACGATGATGCTGACGTGGATGATGTTGTTGCTGACGTGGAAGATACTGCATCTGACGTGGCTGATGCTGTTGCTGACGTGGAAGGGAGCTGGGACGAGCGGCGGGAGGAGAGAGGGGAGGAGAGGAGCAGAGGGAGGAGGAGGGATCTCACACGGTGATGGGGACAGACAGGACCCCGCGCGGAGGTTGCGATGGACGGCTGTGATTCATTCAACCGATCTGATTGTGCTGATCGACGGCTGAGAGCGGCTTCACCAGGATTCGAACCAGAGCCATCCGCGTTATAAGCTGGCTCGCATGCCATATCTACGTGCAGACAGATTACGCGGAGGTACGGAACGGTACGAATTCTCCCTCAAATTGCTTCCCCCGCTTGCACTGATGCTACTTATGCCATAACAATTGAAACTGCGAAAGAGATTTCAACCGACTGAAATCGAGAAGAGGTGCGCGCAACGACAAGCCACCCGTCCTGCTCGATTATGACTACCGAGCAATCCATTCTTCTCGAATCTATGGCCGCTATGACATGAACGATTCGTCCACGCGATCAGCCCCAGTCGCCTCGACGACTCCAATCGCGCAGAGCGCGCCTCGCGATAGTTCGCGAAGTGGCGCGAAAGCCTACGACGATATGAAATTCGGGCCTTGCGACAGCCTCGGACGGTCTGGCGTTAGGCGCGGCGTCGTCGCCAGGCGCGTGACAAGCCATGTTCAGATTCGGAGGATGGTCACACCGAGGACCTAGGGAACGCCGTGGATGGGGAAACCTAGAGACTGCTTGCCAAGTTTGCAGCTGCCTCCTATCAGCAGATGCTCGGTTGGAGAATGCGAAGCGGCTCTGGTGAGATTGGGTGAGATTGGGTGCTCTGGTGAGACTGGGGTGTGATCTCTAGGGGCAATTTGAAGAAGCAAAGGACAAATTCTAGGCGGGAATCACATACGCGTTAATGTGCCAGCTCGCATTCTGTAACGTGGTGTGGTTCTGTTGGTGTGGAGTACACATACGTGTGCAAGATTCTAACTGCGGTTCACAGTTTTACAAAACTGCTTCTCCCAACAAGTCCACTCCCTGTAACCTAAATCGGGTGCAGATTCTCATTTGATCATCGAGCGAGCAGCGAATCAAACGGGAACTAGGTGATGAAGGCACCATGCTCACGCGCCGCAGGGATTTTTTTACGCGGCGCTTTGGGGTTGCCAGAACCAGAATCAGTGATTTATGGCTGGTCAGGCACAGTACTGATGTGACTGCTAGTGGTCGGTGACTAAACGGTGGTATTTCGTCTTCAGTTCTTCCTAGTACTCAATCTCATCATACTAGGTACACCGAGGCGCCTGCTAAGATAGATCGAATGGCATTCAGCAACAGCTACTCTTCTGTAACTCTAAACTCGCGAATTCGATCCTTCCGTATCGCATTCTCCCAGATCTCCTCGACGCGGCGCGTACCACGTCAGTCCGTGACGAAGGTCTCACGCTCGTTGACACGTGTCACAACATCAGTGGTCTGTAGAGCTCGCTCTAAACCCGATGCTATGACGGAAAGTGCAGTAGATTATAAGAGGATAGATTCTGAAAATCCCGAGATAGAGCTGCGAAATGCGAATCAAAGTGGAGGAGAAACTGAAAGAGATATGAGTTTCCAACCTTCAGCATCACCCGGCAATGACCGAACAGGATCCAGCCAATCAGAAGCCAGTGCGGATCGGTGGTTGTCTAATCGCAGCCGTTTATTCGGGCCTTCGGTGATCGTGGAGGTAACTCGGCTGGCGAAGAAGAGAGGAGCCATCAACCTGGGGGAAGGTAATCCCAAGGCTAGGTATTCTGAAAAATAAGAACATTTTCAATTGTTTTTGTTCAGAGGTGACGCCGCTATCAAAGACGTAAGGAGCCATTAAGCTTAAAGAGAGACGCTCAAGGTTGCATATGCCCTCGGATGGTTAGTGGTGTGCCTGGATAAGTAACCGGGTTATGAAACGGCTTGAACCTAGTAGACTCTCTAAGACGTTTAAAGATCCATTAGGTGCATACGACGGTCTGTAGTATGACTAGTTGATGATGGCCTAAGAAACAGGAACGTTGATGACATCATGGGATGTGTGACCTCAATGTGCATTGCGTGGCATGGCATGGCGTGGCACGGCATGGTATGGAACGGCATGGTATGGAACGGCATGGTATGGAACGGCATGGCATGAAATGGTATGGCATGGCATGGCATGGAATGGTTTGGCATGACATGGCATGAAATGGTATGGAACGGCATGGCATGAAATGGTATGGCATGGCATGGCATGAAATGGAATGGCATGGCATGGCATGGCATGGCATGGCATGAAATGGTATGGCATGGCATAGGCATGAAATGGTATGGCATGGCATGGCATGAAATGGTATGGCATGGCATGGCATGAAATGGTATGGCATGGCATGGCATGGCTATGGTGGCACCATCTATTCAGGATTCCCAGACTATGCTGCTCCTCCAGCTCTCAAGGACGCAGGGATGGCTGCCATTGCTTCTGACGTGAACCAATACGAGTGAGTGAGTGGTCAATGCAGCTGTTCTTTTCAAGATATCTTGAAAGGTGCTGCTGACGTGAAGCATACGAGTGGGTGAGTAGTGCAGCTGCTTCTTTTGAGTCGTCTCAAGCGTCTGTCAAGGAATCAGGGATGGCCGCCATTGCTGCTGACGTGAACCAATACGAGTGAATGAGTGGGCAATGTCTCCCTCGTCCCTCACTCACTACTCGCCTTTCGCTCTCCTCATTTTTCAACCCTGCCCTCTTCACACACATCTCATCAAATCTTTCCCTCTTCTGTCTTTTTCTCAGCCTGGAGTTTACTTGTTTCCTCCTGGAAAATTGAAGAATAACAGTAAAAAAAAAAAAACGCAACATAACCCCTGCATCTGGCATCTTCCATCTCTCCAACCCCCCAGCTACAACACATCTCTAGCAGAACTCGTGGCACGCACCTTCTCAGAAGCTTCTGGCATTCCAGTGGACCCAGACACGGAGGTCGTGCTCAGCTCCGGCCAGACCTGCGCATTTGCCTCAGCATGCCTGGCAGGTTTGGTTTGTTTCTGCATCGCCATGCCCTTTATTTCCCTTTACTTACCTTTCAACTCCAACGCTTGAAACTGAAAAAACTCGCCATACTTCACTTCTCGCTCCTGCTAAACTCTTCTGAAATTCTCTGTCATCTGCTTTTCCTCTGAACCCTTCTTCAAGCTGGAAATCTACACCCTGCCATCTGCTCTCTCCTGTCTTCTTCTCTCTCTTCCGTATCCTCCCATGCCATGATGGCATCCTGCAGTGTTCCAACCTGGTGATGACGTCATCCTGTTCGACCCTGCCTTTGAGGCGTATCACGGGGCCATTCTGATCGCTGGTGCTAACCCGGTGGGTGGGCGGGTTGGGTGGGTGGGTGCGTGAGGGAATAAATAATTTCAAATGCTACCACGGGGCTTGCCCCTCCTGTCTCTCAATGCCATTCCCACCCTCCGGTCCATTGTCTATTCCTGCCCGCCTATCCATCCATGCCAGGTGTACGTGGCTCTCACTCCTCCCCACTGGTCGATCGACTTCACCCGTCTCGCAGCCGCCCTCACTCCACTCCCTCATGATGCTACTCTCCTGCTTACCCTTCCCTCCCTTGACCATTCGCTCCCTCCCGTCCGTCCATCCCAGGTGTACGTGCCACTCTCCCCTCCCCACTGGTCCATCGACTTCGCCCGTCTCGCAGCTACCCTCACTCCACCCACTCTTGATGCTACTCTCCTGCTTACCCCTCCCTCTTTTGACCATTCGCTCCCACCTATCCAGGTGTACGTGCCTCTCTCTCCTCCTCATTGGTCCATCGACTTCACCCGTCTCGCAGCCGCCCTCACTCCACGCACCAAAGGCATCATTCTCAACAGGTGCGTCATTCGTCTCAACACGTGAGTCAAAATAATCTCAACAGGTGCATCGTTCGTCTCCTTGTCAATTCGCCCCTCGCCTTGTTCATCCGTTTCTTCACTCTAGCCGTGCTTGTTCGTTTTGGAATTAAGTTTCACGGACCGGTACTGGTGAAGGTTCCTTTTAAACCCCACCAGCCGGCTGTGTGTTTTTCCCCTCTCAGCCGACTCAAATTGCCTGGTTCTGCACAGGTCACGACCTCGTGTAGAGAGGGTGTTTTTGAGACGTCTCACTTAAAATCAGCCGACTCGAGTTGCCTACTTCTGCACAGGTCACGGCCTGCCAGCCGTCACAGATGTGGCGCCTCAAAAGTCTGGACAGGTCACGCCCTGCTGCCGGCTATATTGGTTCGACTTTTGAGAATTCACAAAAGTCGCCTCAAAAGTCTTTACAGGTCACGACCTGCCGGCTATATTGGTGCGACTTTTGAGAATTCTCAACAGCCACCTCAAAAGTCTGGACAGGTCATGCCCTGCTGCCGGCTATATTGGTGCGACTTTTGAGAATTCTCAAAAGTCGCCTCAAAAGTCTGCACAGGTCACAACTTGCTGCCGGCTGTCACAGATGAGGAGTACATCGCTTTCCCCTCACCGACCAATCAACCTGCAGCCTCCCTGCTGCCACCAACACTTCTACTCCCACAACACCCACCCCCAACCCTGTCCATGCAGACTTTTGAGTCGACTCAAAAGTCAGCGCTTTCCCCTCACCGACCAATCAACCTGCAGCCTCCCTGCTGCCACCAACACTTCTACTCCCACAACACCCACCCCCAACCCTGTCCATGCAGACTTTTGAGTCGACTCAAAAGTCAGCGCTTTCCCCTCACCCACCAATCAACCTGCAGCCTCCCTGCTCCCAACAACACTTCGACTCCCGCAACACCCACCCCCAGCCCTGTCCGTGCAACCCCACAGGCCATGTGTTCTCGCACACACAGAGCTCACTCACCTGGCCCTATTCTGCTGCCATCACGACCTGCTGCCATCACGACCTGCTGCCATCACGACCTGCTGGCAATCACAGACGAGGTGTACAGTGCTTTCACCTATGGCAGCAACAATACCTCCCTCCTCCCCCCTCCCTCCTGCCTCCCTCCCTCTCACCCTCAACAACTTGCCCCGAACCCCAATTCCCCAATCCACCCCCGCTCCAGTCCGTGCAACCCCACCGGCCGTGTGTTCTCACACACGGAGCTCTCCAAACTAGCAGAGTTCTGTTGCCATCACGACCTGCTCGCAATCACAGATGAGGTGTACAGTGCTTTCACCTATGGCAGCAGTGGCGCCGAGCGCCATGTGTCGCTCGCTCATTGGCCGGGCATGAAGCAGCGCTGCATCGTCACCTCGTCTGTGTCAAAAACGTTCCACGTCACTGGTGGGTGGGTGAGTGGGATGGTGGGTGGGATGGTGGGCGTGTGATGGCTATGGCTGCTCTCAGCATCTGCATTGGTACACCTCGTCTGTGTCAAAAACGTTCCACGTCACTGGTGGGTGGGTGGGTGGGATAGTGGGTGGGATGGGTGTGATGGGGGTATGGTGGTTGGGTGACAGAGATGGCAGGGTGCGATGGGGTAGGGTAGTGTTGCGGGCAGGGGTGCTTGGCCGGGCATGAAGCAGCGCTGCATCATCACCAAGACATGCACTCTCCATAATCTCTTCTTTTTTATTCCCTCCTCCTCTTCCAGGTTGGCGAGTGGAATGGACCATAGCCCTGCCGCCCATCGCAGCAGCCATCAGAACCATCAGCACCATCGATGCTTGTGCCCATCGATGCTTGTGCCCATCGATGCTTGTGCCCATCGATGCTTGTGCCCATCGTGCCCCTCTTCTCTTCGCCTTTCATTCTCTCCGCTGACCCCTCTCATCCCCTCTCATCCCCTCTCATCCCCTCTCGTTTCTTCCAGGTTGGCGGGTGGGATAGGCGGGTGGGATAGGCGATAGGCGGGTGGGATAGGCGATAGGCGGGTGGGATAGGCGGATGGGATAGGCGGGTGGGATAGGCGGGTGGGATAGGCGGGTGGGATAGGCGGGTGGGATAGGCGGGTGGGATAGGCGGGTGGGATAGGCGGGTGGGAAAGGCGGGTGGGATAGGCGGGTGGGATAGGCGGGTGGGATAGGCGGGTGGGATGGTTGGGCCATAGCCCCGCCGCCCATCGCAGCAGCCATCAGCACCATCAGCGCCATCAGTGCTTGCGCCCATCGTGCCCCTCTTCTCTTTCCTCTTATGTCTTCCTCTCTTCCCTCCTCCTCTTCCAGGTTCGCGGGTGGGGTGGGCCATAGTCCCGCCCCCCATAGCAGCAGCCATCAGCACCATCAGCACCATCAGCACCATCAGCAGCCATCAGCACCATCAGCGATTGTGGAAAACCGAATTGCTCCCTCCATTCTTGATGTCTTTCGTTTTTCCAGGTTGGCGGGTGGGGTGGGCCATAGCCCCAGCGCCCATCGCAGCAGCCATCAGCACCATCAGTGCCAAGCTCATCGACACTCCTCCAGCCCCCTTCCAGGAAGCTTCTCGTGCTGCACTGTGCCTTCCGCCATCCTACTACACTCAATTGAGAGAGGTATGATTGCATCAGCCCTTTAAACCAATGCCCAGGACTACACCCTCAAGCGTGACACAGCAGTGGCCATGCTGCTGGAAGCGGGGCTCGAGGCGCCTCTCATGTTAGTCTTCTCACATTCCCGAGCTATGGAATTTCATGTGTGCTCCTCTTTCTCTCCATCCTACCCCCAGGACTACACACACAAGCGGGACACAGCAGTGGCCATGCTGCTGGAAGCGGGGCTCGAGGCGCCTCTTGTGCCGGAGGGGTCCGTCTTTGTGTTCGCCCGCATTCAGAGAGACGGGCTTTCATGTGTGTGCCTTTTTTTCTCTCCATCCCAACCCCAGGACTACACACACAAGCGAGATATGGCAGTGGCCATGCTGCTGGAAGCGCGGCTGGAGGTGCCTCTTGTGTGACTTTCGTCTGTGCGTGCATCTTCTCCCCCTCTCCCCATCCCAACCCCAGGACTACACACACAAGCGGGACACAGCAGTGGCCATGCTGCTGGAAGCGCGGCTGGAGGTGCCTCTTGTTCCGGAGGGGTCTGTGTTTGTCTTCGCCCGCATTCCCGAGCGATGGGGTGTTGATGATGTAAGCAGAGGCGTGCTGATTATTTAAAGAATGGGAAGTTCATGCAGAGTCATTTTCGTCATTGTTTCCTTATTATTATTATGCTTATCCTGTCACTCTCCTCCCTTTGATCTGCCTGTTGCGCCGCCCCTTTTCTCCCTTCCCTCCCATCCTTATCTCTCCCCGTCTTCTCTCATTCTCTTCTCTTCTTCTCTCATTCTCTTCTCTTCTTCCTCCCCACTCTCTTGTCCAGCTTCACTTCTGCTCTACAGGCGAGTCACAGAGAATGTGAAGTGGCCTTTTGACGTGTCTCATGATCGGACTTCTCTCTTCTTGCTTTTGAGTCGACTCAAAAGTCAACTTTTTAACTAACAACATTTTTTACAAAGTTGAATCAGTCGCAGCCACGTAAAGACATGGCTCCTATCTGGGGCTCCATTGGACAGGCGAGTCACAGAGAATGTGAAGTGGCCTTTTGACGTGCCTCATGATCAGACTTCTCTCTTCTTGCTTGCTTCTCCATTCTCTCACCCTCCCAGCTTCACTTCTGCAGGCGAGTGATCGAAGAATGCGGAGTGGCCTTCGTCCCAGGTCGAATATTCTTCCACCCCACCCACTCCACCTCACCTGGAAATCCACCTGATAGTTCACCTGACCAACAACCTGAGCACTCACTTGACAACCGAATCCAGCACCAACCTGATCAGCCACGTGGCGTCCTATCAGCCGTTGGATCTATCCCTAGCGATGCAGCCCGTGAGGAGGGGTGTGACGATGGCGCTGACGAGCATGCAGAGGCAAGGACCAATCTGGTCGTGCCACCTCAGCATCGGTATGTCCGCGTGGCGTTCTGCAAGAGCATGGAGACGCTGCAAGCGGCTCGATTAGCGCTACAGCACATGCAGGGGATGTTTGGTTTGTCTTAGGTTATACGGTAGTACACTTAATGTTCAATATATGCTTCAATGTTCTGTGGTAAGCGACCACAGTAATGGTATGTTTTGGGAACAGATGAGGAGAAGCAAGTTAGTCAGAGCTTCGGATGCACCGTATGTTGCGGTCTTCATGTAATTTATGCGAAACAAATCTCTGATTTTCTATAAGAACTGGTGCAACACTTAATGAAGCCCTGATGACAACTACCGCCTAGTTTTGACCTAGCAGGCATCTACATGCGAGTAAATGCTCTGTGGGTGGAGCAGCATGCGTGCGGTGCGGCATGTCCAGTGAAGCAAGGATAAGATCCCATCCTGGCAACGGCCTTTCTTTGTGTGTGTGAGAGAGAGAGAGAGAGAGAGAGAGAGAGAGAGAGAGAGAGAGAGAGAGAGAGAGAGAGAGAGAGAGAGAGAGAGAGAGAGAGAGAGAGAGAGAGAGAGAGAGAGAGAGAGAGGCGCTTCCATAGAAAGCATGCGAATAGTAAGTGCTCCGCGGGTGTTAGGGTACATTCCTGTGGGGACACTTGTGTCTCAATCACTTTGTGACACCCAAAAACAACATAAACTGTGTTGTGTCCCAAATGCGAATCGGCTTTCGGCGACTTGTGCTGTATTTATTATTGGTCAGCGTGAAACGCGCTGACATCGCTGTCGAATTGTGAAACGACCCGTCATTGTTAAAGAATCGCACGCGACTCGAAATGCCCGACACGACCACATGCACCTGGACATCCGAAAATGCCAATTTTGCGAGGGAAAAGATCCCGCGCATCGAAACCACGCCCCTGCTCGGAGGTTGAAAATACGGGTGTACTGTCACCCAGTCAAATGCACACACCTGTACATCTCTTTTTGATCCCCGCCAGTGAAACGTGTCCAACTGAACCTGCCAATATGTCGCCCTACATCGCGGTACATTCGATGTTTGTGACACAACATTGGGAAAATTAACAGGCGCGACTCGGGAAAACGGGGATTGAGACACAAGTGTCCCCACAGGAATGTACCCTTAGTGAACAGCAGGCATGCAATGAGTCGATTTTTGAGTCGACTCAAAAATCGACTCATCACATGTGGGTGTTACTAGTGAACAGCAGGTGTGCTTTCGAGAAGCCTCAACAATAGTAAGTGCTCTACGGGTGTTACTGATGAACAGCAGGCGTGCAGTCACGTTTCGGAACGACACTCATCCCAACATGGCGAGGAGGGGACGGGAGAAACGGCGAGAAGAGAAGCGGATGCGGAGAGGGAAGAAGGGGAGGGGAGGACGAATCGCGGCCAAGTCGGAAAGCAAGCTCTGCTGGCAGCACTGAAGATCAAACAGGCAAGCAAGAGATAGAAAATGGTGACGTGGCTCTTATCCAGTGATCAGCAACAGCGCCGTCGTCGGTTTGAGTCGCGGCTGGAAAATGGCCGCTGGTCGCGCCTCGTACCAGAACGCAGTTTTTCCTTCCCTGTCGGCGGAACCTCTAGCCATCGAAAACAGTTTTCCTTTTGGGCGCGAAGAAAAAATGGATTCGCGCAATAGCATGATGCTGCTTCTGACTCCATCCTCCAGCGAGTTCAACGAATGTGTACTACACGTGGGGTTGTCTTGAGCAGCCGTATCACGGATAAGAGCTGGCATGTGGAAATAAGAGCCTCTCATTCTGGGATAACCATACGGGGAGATTCGTACAGTATTCGTGCACGCACGCGTGACGCTCCTGCCTATCCGATTGGAAGAAAAGAAGCGATTTGAAACCCTGAAATTAGGAACACTGCATTTGGTAGCCTAACTTTCGAGGCGCGCATTTTGATAAGGAATCTCAAGATACGTCCGGCGGTCCGGGCGGAGCCGCGTGGTGGGAATGCCAGAGCGGCAGCAATTTTCATTCAGTATGTTGGGGGTGGAATGTGTCGTCTGGGTTCGCATAACCTTTCGCGAGGACCATGAGCCGTTCGATAGGACCCCATCGGGTTTCCCATTTTCGTGGTCAGCCCTGCTCTTCTCTCCCTTTCCCCCTCGCTCACTCCCATTTGCCTTCGCGTATATATCGAGGTGTTCGCTCAGTTATCGTTTCGTTTTTCTGCACACTACCTAACGTTTTTCATCATCTGCTGTTAGGTCGGGAAGACTTTGCTCTGAATCGCAGTCCTCGATGTAGAGTGTTTTGGTCTTGCGGTGTTTGAGTGTTGCCATCACCCGAAGTCCATACAGACTACTCTCCACACAACGGTTTACCTTGTGTTTATCTCTTCGCAGATGCCCTCTCACGGGACGCCGAGCAGCTGAACAAGATCCGCATGCCCTCTTCGCGACAGGGACATCGTGTTACCACAATATATTTCTAACACCGAAGCCACTCTCGTTCCTGCGCGTACCCTCCTCGCTGTTCGTCGATGTAGTACTTCGCTAAAGAGTGCTTCGCCTTTCCGAGTCCAAGGAAATTCCGCACTTTTAGCGGCAAGATCCAAGATGTTGAGTCTCGAGCCGCCGCCACAGCAGCAGCATTTCATCTCGGGCTGCTGTGCTTCGAAGGTCAACAGCCAATCCGAGATGCTGATCTGGCGCGTCTTCCATCAGCAAAATCTTCCACACGAGTGAGCTACTCTTCACGTCGAATCCACATGGTCCGCGTGGACAAGGGCGGCGGAGCACGAGCACTCCGCAAGTTCATCGAAGACCTGATAACCTGAATGTGGACTCCACAAATGTGCGCCTCGATACGGGCAAGCGAACCCAGCCTACCGCCGAGTCGCAAACTCTCGCGCGATCTGGTAACGAGAAAAATTCAATGGTCCGAGACATTTGGGCTCGCTTGGAATTTCTGTGTCCTCGCAGCTCACTCCCTGCAGTCTCGTTTGCAGTGGATAAAAAGGGAAAGTCTCGCCAGATCAGTCACACATCCTCCAGTGTTTATTCCATTCAGTTGCCACACTTGCTACTTCTACCAGCTGTGACACCATCTCGTCGCAGCAGAAGCAGCAACTTGTGGACTGGATTTTTTCCAGGCATATTTTTCCTGTCTACTCGCCCATCTGAATCGGTCTTCTGAGAAGAACATGGCTCGCGTCGGGCTTTACCACGCTGCATTGGCCTTTCTGGCCATGTCGGTGCTTCTCCCCTGCTCCACCGCGGCGATTGCCAAGGCGTGGGGCGGCGCGCAGCCTCTCGAACCGGTATGTTCATTTAGCTTTCTCCGCTCTGAACGTTTTGGAACCATCGTCACGCCAGCCCTAATCGAACTTCACGATTTTTCAACACGTGGCAGTAACTTTTCCACCGATATTTCCCGGTACTCTTCGTAATTACACGTGGGCTTAAAATCAGCTCATTCTATCTTGGCGTTTTATTTGAAACCTCTCACAGATGGCCAACGCGCTGATCGCCGAGTGGAACAAGAAAGTCAAACCTGCGCTAGAATTCGGCAAATATGATCCCTCCAGCTCCAGCAATGGCGTTGCGGGATTCTACAACGGGACCTACTTAATCGGCGCCTCATCTGAGCCAATCAGCGCCGACAAGGAGATCGCCACGATCCCCAAGATCACCGTCCCTCTCGCTATTGTCACGTACAGCTTCTTCGTGACAAAAGCCGCGGGAGCCAAGCCGCTTGTTCTCAACGCCAAGCAATCGTTTGATATCATCTCCGGCGCGACAACTTCCTGGGCCGATGTTCCCGGCGCGGCCGCCGCGAAACTCACCGGCCCGATCACGCGCGTCGCGCGCAGCACCAAAGTCGCGACGACGGCGATCGTCCAGCAGATGTGGTTGAAGGCCGGCGCGGGTTACCCCGCCGGCGGCGACACCACCGGCAAGCCCTTCACGTACGACGGCCTCACTTTCGCCGCGACGAACGGCGATATGTGCACCAAAATCGCCGGGACGCCCGGCAGCATCGGGTATTCGCACACTGGCGGATGCAAGAACAAGGCTGGTGTGGCGGAAGTGGCTCTGAAGAACAGGAAGAACGTGGCCGTCTCTTCTCTGAGCTGGAACCCCATTGTCGCCCTTCCCGCAAAGGTTCCTGCTCCGGACAAGTCCTGGGACTCCGTCGATCTGATCTGGACCGCGAACGCCAAGGCGCCTCCCATGGTTTCCATGCAATATTCTTTCATAAAGAAGAATCTCAAGAAACCCAAGGTCCCTAACGGTGCAGTTGCAAAGGCGTTTCTGCTGTTCATCCTTCCCAAGGCGGGCCAGAAGGCATCTACCAGCGGGTTCCTGCCAGTTCCGGCCAAGTGGTGGGCTCCTTCGTATACGGCCATCAATAACACTGTTGTTGTGTAGTACCGTAGGTAGTTGCCGGGCCTCCATAGGAGGCTGATATGGAGATTTGTGCTATTTTTAGTTCACGGCAGTTTTGGGTGCTGGCATGGTAATTGCCGGGCTATAGGAGGCTGTAAGTTGCCCTGGCTTGTTTGAAGTGCAAGTATGCAAGGGGTTTTTGGTTTGGACTTTGTTTGATCGTTGTATGGTTATGGGAGGGTCATTTTCAGTACTGTATTTGCTCAATGCCCATCCCAACCAATCTCAGCATATTGATTCAACCAATGGACAAGTTGAGTGAGAGGTCACGATGAGCGTTTTTATATGAAAGTAAAATGACCCGCCTCGAGCTAAAAATGACTCGTTATGAGCCTGGCATGATCGAGGCATACTACTTGAACAGTAGAGCATATCAAGAGAAAACAAAAACAGAACAATTCTATGTACATTCTGCTGCTGGATGCAAAGCAGAACTGAAAACAAAACACAACAGCATGTGAGCAATTAACTGTTGGACGCATCAAATGCGATAATGGTGTACGGAATTAATGGCACCAAGCAAGAGGAAATAAGTTCAAGACTAAGGGCAACAGGAACAGAAGAGAAGGATGAGGCAGAAAAAGAGGAACGGTAATTGTAACAGCGTCAATTGTAGAAAACGAGGATGAGAAGGACGAGGAAGGCGATAATGAGTCGTGTGCCTTTGTAAAGAGGTGACTTTTTGAGTTGACTCAAGAGGTATGGTAGGTTCATGGGATGAAACACCGTCAATCGTAGATGAGGATGAGGAGGACGAGGAAGGCGATAACGAGAGCGAGGAGAATACACAGCTGTCCCTTCAACCCAGCCTTCTTCAGAACCACTGTCATCTTTTTCTGTTGATAGCGAAGCAGGAAAGCGAAAGGCGGGGAGGAGAGGAAGGAGACGGAGGGGAGGGAGGAGAAGAAGGAGAGGGAGGTGAGGGAGGAGGTGACTTATGAGTCGCAAAGGCTACCCCTTCAGAACTACTACCATGATGCCAGCTGCTGTTGTTCTTAGTAGAACCATGTGATAAAAGTTGGGTTTTGAGACGTCTCAAAATACACTTTTTACACCCAGCTGCTTTTGTTCTTAGTAGAACCATGTGATAAAAGTTGGGTTTTGAGACGTTTCAAAACCCAACTTCTGAGACGTTCAAAACCCAACAAAAGCACTACAATGATGCCAGTTTTTTTTGTTCATAGCAGAACTGACAAAAGAAAGGGAAGAGAGTTGAGGAGAGCAGAGGAGGGTGGGTGGAGGGCAGATGGGGACGAGAATAAGTGAAGTAAAAAACAAGCCAATCCTATCCCCTGCCCTTAAAGTTTAGTACGGAACAAACAGGAAGGGGAATAAAGGGAGGGGGGGTAGGGAAACAGGCGAAGGGAGGAGAGGGCTATTGAACGGCTACGAGTGATGCAAATCCTACCAGGAACGTGAGTGTAATGACTGTACTGAGTCGCTTTTTGAATCGACTCAAAAAGCAACTCCTACCTGGAACGTGAGTGTAATGTTTGTAGCTGGAACAAAAAATGTTCAATCAGGAAACGGCATCTGGATCAGACACAGAACACTGAACCGAACTGAACCCACACCACCACCCAAAAGTAGCTATTTCTTGAACCATAAACCAAATCAGGTATCACCCAAACCAGGTATCACCCAAACCAGGCATCACCCGAACCAGACATCACCCGAACCAGGCATCCGAGCCATATCTCACCTGTACCAGTCCTAGCCGCCCCCCAGTCCTCTCCATACCGTCGTCCAACTCCCCTATTAGTGACTCCTGTCCACGGGCCGAGGGTGGGAGAGAGGAAGAGAGGGAGGGAGGGAGAGAGGGAGGGAGGGAGGGAGGGAGGGAGGGAGGGAGGGAGGGAGGGAGGGAGGGAGGGAGGGAGGGAGGGAGGGAGGGAGGGAGGGAGGGAGGGAGGGAGGGAGGGAGAGGGAGAGGGAGAGACGGAGGGAGGAAGAAGGAGAAAGGACGGGCAGAGTGAGTGCAAGTGGGAAACATGCTTGGCAGAGGAAGGACGGGCAGAGGGTAACTTACCCAAAAACAAGTTGGTTCTTCAGAATTCTAAAAAACCAACGGGCAAGTCATCCTGTTCCCACATGAGCCCACCTGGGAGCCCAGCTCCTCGTGAATGGCAATGCTTTCAAGAAATTTCAGAAAAGACAGGGTTAGGTCGACAGAGGGATGAACACATGACCTGATCCCACACAAGTTGGTTGGTTGTTCAATTGTTCAGCCCACCTGGACGCCCAGCTGCTCGTGAATGGCAAGCAATGCCCATGCTGTGTGCACTTGCTGTGTGCTGTGTGACTCAAGCTCACTCACCTGACCTGGCCACCTGGCAGCTCACCTGGGACCCAAGCTCTTCGTGAATGTCATGCCCATGCTGTGCACCTGTGGGGGCACCTGAGATCCCATCTGACCACCTGAGAGCCCACCTGGCCACCTGAAGCTCACCTGACCACCTGAGAGCCCACCTGGGCACCTGGCAGCTCACCTGGCCACCTGAGAGCCCACCTGGGCACCTGGCAGCTCACCTGAGCACCTGATAGCTCACCTGACCACCTGGCAGCTCACCTGGGACCCAAGCTCCTCGTAAATGGCAATGCCCATGCTGTGTGTAATTGCTGTATGCTGTGTGAATCAAGCTCACCTGACCTGAGAGCCCACCTGACCACCTGAGTGCCCACCTGACCACCTGGCGCCTCACCTGGGAGCCCAGCTCCTCGTGAATGGCAATGCCCATGCCTCCTATCCGAGCCAGACTCTGACTCATCGCATCCAATTGGTCGTCCTGCTCCCTGTACTCGTTACAACGGGATTCAGTACAGGAGAATAGCACATTGCATGAGTGATTGCCCCCCCATGCCTCCTATCCGAGCCAGACTCTGACTCATGGCGTCCAGCTGGTCGTCCTGCTCCCTGTACTCGTTACAAAGGAGGGAATTCAGTACAAGAGACAAGCACGTTGCATGAGTGAAAGCGCTCCCCATGCCTCCAGTCCAAGTTTTGTTGAGGCGCCTCAAAACGAGAATTCAGTACAAGAGACAAGCACGTCACTTTTGAGTCGACTCAAAAGTCATCAAGCACATTGCATGAGTGAAAGCGCCCCCCATGCCTCCAGTCCAAGTCAGACTGACTCATCGCGTCAAGCTGGTCGTCCTCCCCCCTGTACTCGTTACAGGGGGTGTCCTATTAATCGTTATTACTACCACCTACGTCAATAAAATGCCCATGTTTTCATGTTTTTGTCCTATTTGTTTCAATAAACCTTGGTACAGTTTGCACGTTCCACATACCTCATGATCAGTGAGTCTATTTTTGAGTCGACTCAAAAGCACTCCCACTTACCTCATGATCAGTGCTTGTCTGTCGTCTTCCGAAGCGGCAAAGCTCTCGTTCTCCCCACCAGCGCTGCTCTTAGCAGCGGCCTTGGCAGCAGCGCCAGCCTGCACTCTCAGCAGCTCCCTCCTCTCCGCCTCCTTCTGCATTGCCACCCGCTCCGCTGCTGCCGCCTGGATGGCAGATCGAATCATGGAGATCTGATCGCGCGTGCTGCCTGTCCACTTGCGCCGGCTCTCCACCTCGCCCTGCTCTATGTTGAAGCGCGATGGGTCCCTCTCTGCCACGCCTATTGCTCTGTCCAACTCCTCCAACTGCAACAAGGTGATGGAACAGCACATGGTAGGTAGGGTAACATGGTAACTAACTTGCATCTGCTCTCCACCTCGCCCTGCTCTATGTTGAACCGGGATGGGTCTCGCTCCGCCACGCCTATTGCTCTGTCCAACTACTCTAGCTGCAAAATGGCGGTGGGAAATGAGAAAAGCCAGATGGATCGACAGGCACAGCATATGGTAACTGACTTGCTCCGGCTCTCCACTTCGCCCTGCTCTATGTTGAACCGGGATGGGTCTCGCACTGAAACGCGTATGGCTCTGTCCAGCTCCTCTAACTGCAGTAAGGGTGGGTAGGAATGGGGGAAAAGGTGAGTCGAATCCAAAGGGCCTCGCTCTGCCATGCCTATGGCTCTGTCCAGCTCCTCTAACTGTAGAGAGGGGATGGGAAATGGGAACAGCCAATCACAGCACATGGTAGGTAGGGTAACATGGAAATAACTTGCGTCTGCTCTCCACCTATCCCTGCTCTATGTTGAACCGGGACGGGTCCCCCTCTGCCACGCCTATTGCTCTGTCCAACTCCTCTAGCTGGACAAAGGGAGTAAGAAGAGGAAGAAGCAATCAGACAGTCAGGCAGACGGTAACAAGGACAGGCAGCCACAGCACACAATAGTGGATCATGGAGATCTGCTCCCGCGTGCTGCCTGTCCACTTGCATCGGCTCTCCACCTCGCCCTGCTCTATGTTGAATCGGGAACGGTCCCCCTCTGCCACGCCTATTGCTCTGTCCAACTCCTCTAGCTGGACAATGGGAGTAAGAAGAGGAAGAAGCAATCAGACAGTCAGGCAGACGGTAACAAGGACAGGCAGCCACAGCACACAATAGTGGATCATGGAGATCTGCTCCCGCGTGCTGCCTGTCCACTTGCATCGGCTCTCCACCTCCCCCTGCTCTATGTTGAATCGGGAAGGGCCCCTCTCTGCCACGCCTATTGCTCTGTCCAACTCCTCTAGCTGCAACACCCGCCTCCCAGCACCACCACCCGCCTCCCAGCACCACCACCCGCCTCCCAGCACCACCACCCGCCTCCCAGCACCACCACCCGCACCTCCCATTCGAGCGTCTCTGTGCCGGCCAGTATCGTCTTGGAGAGCGTCTCCCTCTCCTGGCTGCTCGCTTTTTGAAGTGCCAAAGAATGGCCTCATGCTCTCATCACACGCACCTCCCATTCGAGCGTCTCTGTGTCGGCCAGTATCGTCTTGGAGAGCGTCTCCCTCTCCTGGCTGCTCGCTTTTTGAAGTGCCAAAGAATGGCCTCATGCTCTCATCACACGCACCTCCCATTCGAGCGTCTCTGTGTCGGCCAGTATCGTCTTGGAGAGCGTCTCCCTCTCCTGGCTGCTCGCCCCTAGCCGCTCCCACTTGCTGTAGTCATCCTGCACCTTGGACACCTGGGGGAGAGGGGTGTGCGCGGATGGGGGAAGGGCAGCTTGAGACGGTTGGGAAGGGGGGAGGGTGAGGCGAGGCGACCTCTCTTCTGGCTGCTCGCCCCTAGCAGCTCCCACTTGCTGTAGTCATCCTGAACCTTGGACACCTGGGGAGGGGGTAAGAGGGGCGAGGGGGAAAGAGGGGCGAGGGGGAATGAGGGGCGAGGGGGAAATAGGGGCGAGGGGGAAAGAGGGGCGAGGGGGAAAGAGGGGCGAGGGGGAAAGAGGGGCGAGGGGGAAAGAGGGGCGAGGGGGAAATAGTGGCGAGGGGGAAAGAGGGGCGAGGGGGAAAGAGGGGCGAGCGGGAAAGAGGGGCGAGCGGGAAAGAGGGGCGAGCGGGAAAGAGGGGCGAGCGGGAAAGAGGGGAAGACTGAGGCCGCCGTTCCCACTTGCTGTAGACATCCTGTACCTTGGACACCTGGAGGCGCGGGGAGAAGGGGGGAAGAGGGGGGAAGAGGGGGGAAGAGGGGGGAAGAGGGGCGAAGAGGGGGGAAGGAAAGGGAAAGTGGGACAACAACTAGTCAGCACTCGTTCCCTCCCACTTGCTGTAGTCATCCTGTACCTTGGACACCTGGGGAGGAGGAGCGGAATGGGAGGCGGCGAGAGGGGGAAGGGAGAGGCGGGAAATGTGAGGCGGAAAGGGTGAGGCGGTCTCTCTCCTGGCTGCTCGCCCCTAACCGCTCCCACTTGCTGTAGTCCTCCTGTACCTTGGACACCTGGGGGAGAGGGGGGTTGGAGGACGGGGTGAATGGGAGGCGGCGCGAGGGGGAAGGGCGAGGCAAGAAGACGTAGCCATGCCTCTCCTGGCTGCTCGCCCCTTGCCGCTCCCGCTTGCTGTAGTCATGCTGTACCTTGAATACAGGGGGAAAAAGTGGCAGAGAGCGGTGGTGGAGGGGAGGAAGAGGAAGCACCAGGTGAACGACAGGTGATGGTGAAATTACAAGCTTGGGGTGACACAAGCTTAGGGTTACAGACGCTTACAGGTACACACGCTTACGGTGACACAAGCTTAGGGTTGCACACGCGTTGGGTTAGACAAGCTAAGGGTTAAAGGTTACACAAACTGAAGGTTACACAAGCTAAAGGTTACACAAGCTAAAGGTTACACAAGCTAAAGGTTACACAAGCTAAAGGCTACACAAGCTAATGGTTACACAAGCTAAAGGTTACACAAGCTAAAGGTTACACAAGCTGAGCGTTGCACAAGCTAAGGGTAACAGGACCGACTCCCGGCCTGCTTATCGTGGCTCGCGCGATTGCCATTTTTGAGACGTCTCAGTGAGCGTTACACAAGGTAAGGGTAACCGGACCGACTCCCGACCTCCTTATCGTGGCTCGCGCGATTGTCATTGCCATTCACGGCACGTTAGATTTCATCACGTACCAGATTCTGTGTTTCTAGTATGGTTACACACGCCTAACTTCCGTAACATACGAACTCCTGAATGTCGCTCTTCAACTGCGGTTAACCTAGAATCCATAACATGCAAATTTTGAGAATTCTCAAAAGTCACTGCGGTTAACCTAGAATCCATAACATGCAAATTCCTGAAACTCGCTCTTTTAGTATGGTTACACCTGGATTTCCATCGCGTACCGAATCCTGTAACCTAGATTCCATCGCGTACCGAATCCTGTATTTCGTCGCGAACGAGGTAGAACGGGTCTTGCGCTGCCATCACCAGCAAGCCGTCCGCGGCCCGCAATACCACCTACCTGCCTACCCACTCCACTAGAACTGACTAATTAGATTCCTTCCTGAATAGTACTGACAAATTCCTCCTAGTTAGGTCGGACCACCAACCTATCCGGTCCTGTTAGGCAGACCAGGATGACCCACTTAGGCTGCCTATGCTGCCATGGCGGATTCTAAGTTGCTAGGCGCGTAAGGGATTGGTAATAGCGGTACGGAGGAACTTGGTCAGTGGTAGTTCATGCGAACCGTGAACAGGGATCTTGAGAGTTCACCAACTTAAAAAAAATAGATGTATACATTATCTGTCTATACGATCTCGTGACTCCATGGCCCAATGGATAAGGCGCTGGTCTACGGAACCAGAGATTCTGGGTTCGATCCCCAGTGGAGTCGGCCTTTTGCAAATGGCTTGAGTTTCTGCCAACTTTGGGAGCTTCTGCCAACCTTGGGAGCTTTTGCCAACCTTGGGAGCTTCTGCCATCCTTGGGGGCTTCTGCCAACCTTGGGGGCTTCTGCCAACCTTGGGAGCTTCTGCCATCCTTGGGGGCTTCTGCCAACCTTGGGGGCTTCTGCCAACCTTGGGGGCTTCTGCCAACCTTGGGAGCTTCTGCCATCCTTGGGGGCTTCTGCCAACCTTGAAAGCTTCTGCCATCCTTGGGGGCTTCTGCCAAACCTTGGGAGCTTCTGCCAACCTTGGGAGCTTCTATGCAACTCTTGGAACGCCTTGAGGTGATTCTCTGGGCGTTTTTGGTCGTTTTTCCATAAGGTTACTTCTGGGCTTTTTTGTAGTGACATTTTCCAAGGGCTTCTGCCAACCTTGGGAGCTTCTGCCATCCTTGGGGGCTTCTGCCATCCTTGGGGGCTTCTGCCAACCTTGGGGGCTTCTGCCAACCTTGGGGGCTTCTGCCATCCTTGGGGGCTTCTGCCAACCTTGGGGGCTTCTGCCAACCTTGGGGGCTTCTGCCAACCTTGGGGGCTTCTGCCAACCTTGGGGGCTTCTGCCAACCTTGGGGGCTTCTGCCAACCTTGGGAGCTTCTGCCATCCTTGGGGGCTTCTGCCAACCTTGGGAGCTTCTGCCATCCTTGGGGGCTTCTGCCAACCTTGGGGGCTTCTGCCAACCTTGGGAGCTTCTGCCATCCTTGGGGGCTTCTGCCAACCTTGAAAGCTTCTGCCATCCTTGGGGGCTTCTGCCAAACCTTGGGAGCTTCTGCCAACCTTGGGAGCTTCTATGCAACTCTTGGAACGCCTTGAGGTGATTCTCTGGGCGTTTTTGGTCGTTTTTCCATAAGGTTACTTCTGGGCTTTTTTGTAGTGACATTTTCCAAGGGCTTCTGCCAACCTTGGGAGCTTCTGCCATCCTTGGGGGCTTCTGCCAACCTTGGGGGCTTCTGCCAACCTTGGGGGCTTCTGCCATCCTTGGGGGCTTCTGCCAACCTTGGGGGCTTCTGCCAACCTTGGGGGCTTCTGCCAACCTTGGGGGCTTCTGCCAACCTTGGGGGCTTCTGCCAACCTTGGGAGCTTCTGCCATCCTTGGGGGCTTCTGCCAACCTTGAAAGCTTCTGCCATCCTTGGGGGCTTCTGCCAAACCTTGGGAGCTTCTGCCAACCTTGGGAGCTTCTATGCAACTCTTGGAACGCCTTGAGGTGATTCTCTGGGCGTTTTTGGTCGTTTTTCCATAAGGTTACTTCTGGGCTTTTTTGTAGTGACATTTTCCAGATCTACATGTTCAGTGGGATGGGATCGTGGGAGCACTGGGCTTCCTCAACTGGGTGTGATGATCTCTCCAATCCCTAGATTTACACTTGGAGCATCAACCTTTCCCCTTTTCGCATCATACTGCATATACGGTATGGCACTGGGCTTCCTCAAACTACCATGATGATCTCTCCACTCTCTCATTACACTTGGCACATCAACTTCCCCAATCCCATCATACAACACCCATTTGCATCATACAAATCCGCCAGCACCTACAGAACTCGTAACAGGGACTCATTTTGTACCAAATACGTTTGAACCCGCTATGGCTATATCCATTGCTGTTGTAAGCGAAGGAATGAACGTACTGTAAGGGCATTTCCAAGAGAATCCTTGTTTTCCTGACTCTTGCACCGCCTTCACGCATCTCTTCAACTCCTGGTGGCATGGGATAGCCCAGTTGCCTGCAGAGCAGTACCGATAGGTGTAGGAGAAGTACCGTACAGATAACGAGTAAGCCGGAATATTAGAGTGAAATTAAGGGACAACAAGGGACAACAGGCGCAAGCATGAAATGGCTGAAAATGTTTTCAGGACACAAGGCATGTTAGTAAGCACACCGCTCATTCAAGTGAATAAATACCAACTTTCACAGAGAACCACTTTTTGTGAAAGGTCAAAGGTTAGGGGCACACCATTCGCTTCGACGCAATTGTCATGCTGCATGCAGCAGTTGTCCACGTCATCACATGGCGCCTGCCCCGGACAGCCACTCCACTTCACGCCGCAATACTTTCCATAGCGCATGAAGAAGGCTGGTAAGAGAGTAAGGGATCGGCAAAGCGAGCGGCAGAAAGGGGGTATTGCGACAATGTTAGGAATGAGAATATCAGAGGAAATGGGAGGTAAGTGGAGGGGGGACGGGACGAAAGGCCATTGAAATTAAGACGGAGAGAGAGGGAGAGAGACAGAGAGATGAACAACTCGTTCCGATATATTAATATAGGGACGAAGTTTCAAACTCAACGAAAGTTCTCACCATCCCAAATTTTGGTCCACGAAAGAGAGTTTTTAGATTATTCGTTCACTTGTATGAAAGCTCAGTGTCTCCAGGTAAACTGGAACGCTGAGATTTTCACAATTTTCATGCCCGAAAGTGGACGCAATTTCGGGCCCATTTCGCGAATTCACGGAGGGAATGAGAGAGAACGTGTGTGCGAGTAACGAGGCGAATGCAGTGCAGAGCAGAGAGAAGCACTCACTGTTGCATTGGAACTCGGCGCAACTCCGCGAGCAAAAAAGATTCGACACCTGTTCAATGGAACGCGAGCACGGACATAGAGAAAAGCGGGATGCGGGGGTTCAGCGGGAGAGCAGACGCAACGGTAACGAGGTAGGAGGAGGGATTTGCTCAATAATGTCGCTACTATGGAACGATGAAAAGGAAGGAAGGATAAAATCGTGAGCGACTCGCTCAGAGCACAGTACCCTCAGGCTGGAACCACACGTCGTGATAGCGCAGGAGACGGTGAAGGCCATGAGCAGGCGGAATAAATATGAAAATTGAAGAGCCATCCTGGAAAATGTCGTGCTGTGCAGGCAACGGCGTCGGTGGCTCCTCTGGTCGACTGGGTTGCGTGATCTACTACTGAGAGTGAGAATAGTTGTGGGGCTGGGTATCCAGTGGGATCATCTCGATAACCATGGAAAAGCGTGTTATAAATGCCCGTGGTGGGAGAGAGGAGACAAGACGAGATTGACCAAAGGTTTCACTCTTGGTTCGGCTGGCTGGGACCAAAGTGGCTGGATTGAGCAGCCAATCATTTCCCTCGTTGAACAGCCAACGGAGGGTTGATTTGGGTTCGGAAATTGGCATTTGTGCGACTCGAGCAGAGGCGTACAATTCACCTCACCAGGCCTGGCCTTTGCGCCGCGACTGGCGCCGGGGATGGCGCTGGGACTGGAACGCGATCTCATCCCAATCCCAAGCCAACTCAAGAAACGCGTTTTCATCTCCTTCAAAAAGTTCCCCGTGATATCACAGTAAGTCGTTGGTGGAAAACATCCTAGCTTCAGATTTCATACTGGTATTTATCACTCAAAGCGCAGACCTCCAACTAAGAGGCACTCTGGCCCTGGTCACTTGGTTGTGTTTCGAGTTTAGGGTTTAGGAAGTCGTAGGTCACATTCTACGTGTGCAGCACCAGTCAAATGCTATGCTGCTTGCCACTACCACATTCTTACTACATTTCACATACATTCCACCACCTAGTTGACTGCCCCAGCCATCCAAGTCACAATCCCAGGCGGTATCTCTTTTTCACTCGAGGAAGGTGTTGAGAACCAGCGGAAGACACATGCAGCTGGGGACGTGCCGAGCTTGAGACATCAAAATAGCAAGTGCCAGTGAGCGCATTAAGTCTCAGTACCGGACATCTATAGCATCGTGAATATGTTTTCACTTGAGGAAGGTGGTGGAGAACCAGAGGAAGACGTAGGTGACAAGGGAAGTGCCGAGCTCAAGACTCCAGAAGCCAGGGAAAATACCCTCCGGGATGAACGGCACAAGGAAAGAGCCGGTGATCCAGCCAACCACGAGCGTGGCGAACCTGGGAGAATGGGTTGGGGCAATGGTTAAGAAGAAAGGTACGAGGGAACGATGAAGGAGGGACGGAGCACATGGGTGACGAGAGACATGGCGAGCTTGAGATTTGTGAAGCCAGGGAAAATGCCCCATGGGATGAACGGCACGAGGAAAGAGCCGGTGATCCAGCCAACCACGAGTGTGGCGAACCTGAGAGAACGGGTTGGGGGGAATGGTGAAGAAGAAAGGTAGGAGGGGAGGATGGAAGGAAAGAGCGAAGGAGCACATGGGTGATGAGGGAAGTGCTTAGCTCGAGATCAGAAACTGGAAAAAATTGCCCTCTGGGATGCATGACACGAGTTTCGAGTCGCCTCAAAGAGGATAAAAGGCACCGAGGGAACAAAGGGCATGATCAACGAGCCAGTGACCTAGCCAGCACGAGCACTCTCTGGTTGGCCATGGCTGGCCAACACGAAGACGAGCACAGGGCGTAGGGCACTCCTTGGGCGTGCTTTGCATGTGGAGAGTAGGGGGGGGAACCACGTACCCGATAATGAGTGCTCTGGTAATGCTCTTGAGCCGCTCGTTGATGAGGTACACTGAGAGACCCAGAGCCACCGCAACCTGAAACGAACAGGGAGA